GATGGTAGCATAGTAACTAATGAAATTGTACACGGGTTGATTTAGTTACACAGATAAAATGACATGGGATATACGATAAGCGAACAGTGTTTATTTAGCTTAGCTACTTGTAGAGGAGATTATCAAATCCATCCATGAAATTCTATCTACTGCTAACTTTCAGGATTTTCTTCTAGACCATTCTTTTTCCCACGACACTGACTGTTGATCCATTTCTTTATTTCTATCACATAATAATTGTTATCTATTATTATTATTATTATTATTATTATTATTACTATTATTATTATTATTATTATTATTATTATTATTATTATTATTATTATTATTAGAACACAAAGAGAGTACAACAAGGGCACCAAGAAATGCGCCATACAAAACAATAAAACATTATGAAGACGTAAAGTGAAGGAAAGTAGATAAGTAGGAAGGAAAACACAATAAGAATAGAATGATTAGAAGAGCATCCTAGTAAGATACATCCGAAACAAAATTTTCATTAGTTTTCAGCCGCAGAAGGTAAAAGGGAACTAAAGCATGACCCCCACTGACTTCGATTCTGAGCCACATCTGATAACGTCTGAAGCCACTGAGTTGCGTGATATCTCGGACCCCACCCAGGGAGTCGTGATGCACCGACAAATGCCAACTCAATACAAGTATCCTTTATCTCACGGCTCCACGTTATACACTGACCACCTCTACACTTCTTCCATCTAGTCCCATGGTTAGCAAACAATGAACGGCGTCTTAGCCGTTGGGATGACATGAGTAACAGATGTGGAAGACACTGAAGCTGGTGTTTCCAGATGACTTTACTTATTGAATGACGATCTCCATGATGCTCGAACACACGCTGTCGTACCTCGTAATTACTTACATGCTGTTGCCAGTGGATAAGCTCAATCTTGCGAAGACAAGGATGATGGAACACACAGAGTTGTTGCACATTTTCAGCTTGTAGAGGCCATGTTTCAGAGGTGTAGAGGAGAACTGCTCACAGTGAATTGTCGTAAATCCAACTTTTTAGAGTCAGACTAATGTGGTGATGACACGAAAGGTGGACCAGATTGAGGTATGTCACTGTGACTTTTGTTAAGTGGTTGAAAATTTCATCACACACACACGCACACCTCGACTGGCCCTCACACATGTGCCCAGATACACAAACGTTTTGACTAGTTGCAATAAGTCACCACTGAGGGTGAGTGCACAGGCACAGGCTTCTTTCAATCTTTCAGAATTCACTTCAATGGTGTAAAACATATACCATACTTACGGACATAGCTCAGATATTACACTTCTTTGAGGTAATTTCAGCTTTCGTTTCCTCTTTTAAGAAGTATATAATCGTTGAAATAGATTACCGATAAAAGTGCAGGAATCATTTTCTTGTCATCCTTTTTGCATAGACATAGAAAGTGTATCTGATCACAGGTGATTGTTGTAGAAATTTATTACATTATCATCAGTTAAAATGATAAGTTCAGTGTATATTTCTTTGTAAAGTTGAGGGTATGGAGTTTCGCTAATGTACATATGAGAGTTTCCAACTAAAATGATGAATTATATAAGATGCATCTACGCTAATGAATTCTGCTAGATTCTCATCGCTGTTAGCTACCTTAAACTACTTAATAATTGACACATTTTAATATCAAAGTAGACAAAGTAGCGTGAGAGAATAAACAATTTGAAGATAAAGGTTAGTGCAAATATTCAAGCTTTAAAAGACATCAAATGATGAGTAGATCTGAGCTATTGTGTCTGATTTTCACCTATTTGTTATCAAGAGTCCTCAACCACTGATTCTTATGTTCTCTGGGAACCCAGTAAGCCAGATAGTCTACATACATAGTTGAGATTAAAAGTCGAGAACTTCATCGACTGATGCCAGATTTTGGTCTGACCATATACCCTCTAAACTTTAGTTAGACCTAATATTTTGGCGCCTTCATTTAATGTTAAATTCAATTTTTCAAATTCAATTTCATTCTGTTTTGTGACATTTTTCAAAGGGATCAATTTTAAACAGATTCCTACTTAACTGGGCTAATTCCTCAAAATATACCCATTAAGTTATTGATAAAAGGCATTGTGGTACATATACACACAAACAAACATGCAGTTGCATATTTTTATGCTCAGGTTTGTCACATTTTGACTGTCAAGATGTTAGAAGTAGTCTACGGGAACGTGTCAGCAAGACTGCACATTTTTAAGAAAGCATCTTGTGTCTAAGATCAGTTATGAATCTAAAAAGTGCTGATGTGGGTGTATAGTGATTCGGATAGCAATCAGCTGTGAAATTAGAATAAACTCGATAATTAACCGCAAACTGACGTCATTGTCAAAAAGAGGAACTGAAGACAATCTATAAAACACTGGACAAAGAAGTGAAGAAGAGTGCGCGCGAAGACAAAAGACACTTCTACGACACACTCGCAACTGAAGCACAACAGACTGCAGGTAAGAGGGACCTGAAAACATTATATCAAATAACCAGGTTGCTATCTGCGAGGAGATCAACACAGCACAGATGAAACCAATGAAAGATAGTGAAGGAAACTTAGTTACCAAAGAGGAGAAACTAAGGAAACGATGAGTTGACCACTTCAAAAAGCTCCTGAATCGACCACCACCTGCAACTCGTCCAAAAATACCGCCAGCAGCCACAGAACTATCACTGAACTCAACCCCCCCCCCCAACAAAAGCAGTAGTGGAGTCCTGAACGCCACTGTGTTACTGAAATCTGGGAAAGCAAGAGGACCAGATGGAATTCCACCAGAAGCACTGAAAACAGACGCAGAGACATAAGCAGTGGATATGCTAACACCACTATTGCAGAAGGTTTAGAAGGAAGGAAAGGTACCTGCTGATCGACTGGAGGGAGGGCTACCTTATCAAACTCTCAAAAAAGGGCGACCTAAGTCTTTGCAAGAACTAGCGTGGAATCATGCTCCACCTCTGTCCACCCCCATCCTGGAGAGACTAAAAGGTGCTCTGCACTTAAAATTGCGACCGGAACAGACTGGCTGGCTGGTTGGCTGACTTCAGCAACAACAAATCATGAGGGGATCTGCTTCAACACTACGGTTTCAGTGCTACAAACCTTTACCAAGCTCATTCCACTGGAGCTATATGCTATATTATGAGGAGGTTACATGCCACATGGGAAGTGATTGATAATGGAAAGCTCAGTGACACCTTTGAAGTGAAGACAGGAGTAAGAGAAGGTTGTCGCATACTATTACCTATGGTCTTCTTGATTGTGGTCGACTGGACTGGACTGGAGTGGAGTGGACTGGATTGGATCTTGTAACAGACAAATAAGATGAGCTGTGAGAGATGGGCATACGCTGGCTGGACAGATGAAAAGACTATAGAAGAAGATTTGGATTTTGCCACCGATGATGATTTATGTCTAATGTCTTGTGGAACAAACTTGAAGATCTACAGGCGAAAACCAAAAGGTTGTCAGGAAAGGTGAGATGAGGTGAGGTGAGACGAGGCGAGGTAGAGCAGGGCAGCCAAAGAAGATGGGACTGGCTTCAGGTGAAGGTAGAGAAGACAGAGGTGGAGGTGATGAAGATACCCGACCAACAAGAACCAGTCATCATGAATGGGAAACATCTAAAGGAAGTTGTCTCTCACTTACCTACAGACCTAGGTTTGGCAGCATCGTTTCAACTACAGGCAGTGTCACAGGCACAAATGAGGATGTCAAAGCAGCCAGGATCGTAAAGACAGCAAGACAGGCCTTCCTTCATCAATCTTAAATAATCAGTGTGGAGCTCTACTGCACTCAGCATAACGCGTGAAGAAGACCCAGATATTCAACACTAGTGTAAGTCAAGTAAGTCAGGGATTCTATGTGATGGTTGACAGACTTGGTGGCGTGTTACGAAAAGCATTGGTAACAAACTGCAGACATACATGAACAGCTGTCTACGCTCAGATCAGATGGATGGCCAGAATAATAAGAATTAGCAACGAGGAACTTTGGCTGTCTGGCTGGCAACGAACCAATCAATGTATTGCCCAACAAATATGCGGATGAGGAAAGTAGAGATGAACTGGATTGGGCACATACTGAGAAAACCATTTGCGTCAGGCTAGATCATGCCGTCGAGTGGAATACAAATGGGAAACGATGAGTCGGGCATGCGAGAGTGACGTGGAGGTGATCATGTGAGGAAGAAATGAAAGGATGTGGGCTGTCGAGAAGCTAGGTTCAAAAGACTGCAGAGAAGAAAGTGGAGTGGAGACGTGGTAGTGAAGCCCTATGTTCCACTGGAAACCCAAGAGACACATACTAATAATAATAATACTGATAATAATAACGTCATTTTGTAATCCTTCGTTCGGCGATTAATTGGATGCTATGTTGTAGGTTTCAAGTAGTTACATGATTTACATGGTTTCAGTTTTCCAATGGAACATTAGTTTTAATAACGATGGGCAGCGGAGTCCAGGGTGCTGATTTCGTCCTATTTGGGACTCGTCAGCTGGATGTACCTGCCACCGGATAAGTGATGTTGTCCCCACCGGGACTCGGGAGCGATCACTTCGAACGCGAGAGCGTTATCCACTACACCACCGAGCCACGATAGCCACTTCTTGTGCGACGGGTATAGTTTTAGTGTTATTGCTTAAAAAAATGACTGCAACTAGCAATTTATCACAAGAACATTGGTTCAATACTTACCAAAAATGTAATAATGCGTAAATATAAGGTATTGTAATGTTACGTGACGTAGTTTTATAGCTGTATCGCATTTTTGATCTGTTTATCTCATTTAATAATGCTAATAAGTAAATGATGACGTGGATTATCTTGTAACATCCGGTTCGTTTGCTTAAATTTCCCTTCTGTATGTTTGTAGCTTTTCGTGTGTGTGTGTGTGTTAGCACTAAGGGTTTTTTCAGTAACCTACTAAACTTATCATAACTGAATAATATAACATGTTTCTTGTTTTTGCATTTTGTTTGTTTTTAGTTCCCTAGTAACTTACCACCTTCTGGTCATGTAATGGGTCGAAATTTTGACGATGAGGGTGATTGTGATGTAAGTTTTGCTTATTAAGTCATGTACACATTTCTAACATTGATTATTGGGTAACAATTGACTCATTTAATTGATTCTTGAAGCTCACAACAGACTGCTTACCAATCTAAGTATACAACACTATCTGCCTGTTGCAATGAAACAGGCTAAACCAATCGATATTATTGTATGGTAAAATATCCTATTCAAACAACTATTTGTAAGAATGACTCATCATACTGATTCAGCTTTGTATGACTTTTTATTGATTGACTTCTCATTTCATACACAATATGAGAGAACACCTTAATAACACCCTTTCAATTAAAGTAGAAATCTAGATAACGTTAAAAATATTTGTCATGTGAGATATAACTTACTGCCCAGACCGTTTCCTTATATTCAGGTAAGGTAGTTAGTTAGTAGTTGTAAGACCTATCACAGCTTCCTTTCAACTTTCAATTTTTACCTATATTGGAACACTTTAATCCGTTCAAGTCTGTATTTGTTCAAGTCAGGCAATAAGCGTTAGCTATCTATTACTTGTTTTGTCTTTCAATTGTGTAGGCAGAACTTTGGTGACCTCAGGATAATTGTGCGATAGACTAGGTGTCTGAAATCGATACTATAATATGTGCGACTCTAAAGGCCATCCTAATAACCACTGAAATAACCAACTAGACTTCTTGATTCTATGAAAATCTGCCTTTCCAACAGGAATAGAGAAACTTGATTGGCTATTTCAGTCGTTGCTAGGATGGCATTAAACGCCATTCCTTTATACATGTCAAACAACCAATAACTGACTAAAAATAGTAATCTGTCAGTTAATTCTTGCATCTGTAGGCAAGACTGCCTTTCTGTTTCTTATGATATGACAATCGTACCCTTTTGTGCAAAAGTATCCACCTCTTGATAACTCAAGCAGGGTCTGAAAACAGTTCAAGCACGACTACTTGTTATTAGTTATAGAGAAACTACTTGCAATACAGTTTTGTTCTTACATGATTTCTTACTGTACCTAGCGCTGAACTTTGACTACTACACATATCGCAGTGTAGATGAATGGAGACAGTTCGGTAAAAACCTACACACTTTTAGATAAAAATGTCAATGATATTCCAAATATTCCTCAGTTTACTACACTATCCAACCTTGTTAGCATGATAGGAATTATGTTATTCAGTTGGGTTTATACGGAACTGTCTTCATTCATCTACACGAGGATGTGTGTAATCGTCGATGTTTAGCATAAGGCACAGTAAAGAGACCTTATAAGACCGAAACTTTATTGGAAATAGTTTTTCTATAACTGGTAACAAACGGTTGTGCCTGAAATCCACAGACGTTCTTATGGAGGTCTGCCTCGTCATCTGGCTACCAATTATCACAGGAGAACCCTTGATAAATCTAGAATATTCAAATGACATAGTTCTGTTACGTGAAGAACCCGAAAACCTTGAGTGGCGATTTGGCAATCTTTTGGTGTGTTTCCCACCACTCAAATGCAAACTGCTGCTCCAGGACTGGTCTTCAGTGGTGCCATGTCTAACAGTAACGAGTGAAATGGCTGAGCGCGTTGACCACTTAACTTATCTGCGAAGTCAGATCAGCCCTAATAGGCCAGTGACTGATAAAATCTCTACACGGATGCAAAGGACTCGTTTGTCCTTCGCCAACTTATGCTATTAATGGGGTCGTTGTGATGTCTCATTGTCTATTAAGAGCCGAGTGCACTGTGCGGCAGTTCTCTATGTTCTACTGTATTGCTGTGAAACATGGCTATTAAAGGTAAAAAACGTGGTTGACCACCGTTGCCTTCGTAACATAAGCCGTTTCGTGGTGTCACCACGCTTATTAACGCAGAAGTCAAGCGTAGAGTTTTAGAGAGGAGAGTTAAGATAGTTGGTGCGGTTGTGAACCTTCATCGACTGAGATGTTCCTGGGTCGTGTGTCACACACACACACACACACTTACCGTCTGCTTCGTCGCGAAATTTTGGTTGAAGTATGCTCAGGCTGGAAAAAGGTTAAAGGTGACCAGACTAAGGCATTTCACGGTTTCATGAAGTAATTGACCGTTACTTTGAGCCATATAGGAGAATGTAGACTAGGTGGTAAGGGCCCGCGTGACAACAGAAACCAGCGGTTAGAGACTCTAGGTTGTGTGACTTAGGATCAATGTCAGTGGCACAGATGTATCCATACTTCATCTTCATTTCAACCACTTTGCTGAATTCAGCATTTCCTCTTCCTATCTTTTACTACTTTCTACTACTTCTAACCGAATTTTCTTTTTTTCTTCATCCTACTACTTTGTTACTTGAGATGTGACAACTTAGACCACTACACAGTAACACCTGGTTCTATATTGATATTGGTATTGATGATTTATGTATTTTTTAAGATGTGTAATGGTTGCATAACATTTTTACTCTAGACAAATAATACCCCTGGTTAAACGTAGAGATTAAGGTGAATGGTTACTTTACTAACAACTTTCATATTTATACTGGGTGATGATTGAATATCAGATGAGAATTTGAACCGCAGGTCTATCAAACCAAAATGATAATCAAGATGATGCTTCTCCTCTTCTCTAATTCAGTTATATTTGGATTGAGATGAGAAGTGATGACTGAGCAGGCAGTGTATCAATACAATCAAGCGATAGTTACGCGTCACGACGAATTCACATGATAGTCTATCAAAACCCTTAGTAAAGTATTAATCGTTTCATCTTTCGAAATATCAACAGATGCAAAAGATCGAGTTCATACATACGCTTGACGTGTTCTGTTTTTTTTAAAATCGTGTTTGACTTATTCTAGTTAAGAACATCAACGTCCTTAAAACTGTGATGGTTACATTGATTCTTTCATAAGTTTCTGTTAAGTATCACAACTAAATGCAGGAAAAAATTGATTACTAAAACTGACAATATTTCACACAGTGATATTCATACTTTTAGGCCACTTATTTCCCAATACTTGAAAAAATCATACCCTGAAATCCTTCTACAGCCTTTTTCCAAGTAAGCATCGTTGAGTTGATATCTAATATGGAAGATAGAGGTGAAGCTTTACATTTGTTCGTAGAAATTTATTGATTAATTGCTTACCCTCTATATATCACTTTGAACTGACCGTTAGTTATTAGAAGATCAAATTGTAACCATTTCACTTCGATCATATGCTTATCAATATAATTGACTGTCTGGTTAAGTGTTTGTATCTGATTTTGAAGTTTGAGTATTCTTGATCGATGAGGGGATCATTTCAATTTATGAACTAAAGTATCTAGTTCGACTACTCAGTTTAATGTACACATAAATTTATTCACATTAACTCACTTCATAGAGGCTAAAATATTAGTAAATATGTAAAAATAATCATTACTTTACTACATTCTTATAAACTACTTTCTCTTCAGTAGGTTACATTCCATTAGAAAGTAGATCTGTCCAGAGTTGATCTCATGATGTTTCTATGGTAAATGATTCAGTTATGTAATTATTTATACTAGGTGATGATTAAAAGTGAAATGAAAGTCTGAATTATGAAAGAATTCTAACCAATTGAAGTTAAGTGAAGATATGATCAGGCAGCTGGGTTTCATACGTTAGTTGTTAGAACACCAGCCTGGTGACTTTGAAGGTCACTGGTTCGAATCTAACAGCAGCCCAAATTTTCATTTTTTCCTCAATCATCATCTAGTGTCAATAAAAGTCTGCCAAACCACAGCTATCTCATATAGTCAAACTGATAGAATTATGTATTGCGATTGAACTGGTATTATAATCTGCTGTACACGATGTAGGTGGGAATAAAATATCGACATTTAGACAATACTAATCAAATGTTATTGCTTGTATGACACCGTCGTTGGTTAGACCGAATTGATCGGTCTCTATTGGCATATGGGCTCCTATGCGGATGCCTCAATATTGCCTGCGTTCTAATTATATTAATGACGGATCGTGGCTAACAGCGGAATCCAGGATGCGCATTTCGTCCTATTTGGGACTCGTCAGCTGGATGTACCTGCCTCCCAGTGGAAATAACATCACTCATTGGGAGGCAGGCACATCCAGCTGCCCAATGAGTCCCAAATAGGACGAAATGCGCATCCTGGATTCCACTGCTAGCCACTGCCCACCATTACTATAAATAGTAATCAAAGCATAAATACAATCCACACGAATCTTATCTATAGAAAAAAAATTTAGCAAAACATAAAATTAGGTAGTCAAAGCTAAATGTGAATCTGACAATATATTTTTGTATTGTTGCTGAATTGTTTTTTTTAAAGGAGATTGGCTTTGGGTTCATGATTTTCCCATTTTGCTACACCTCTCTTAGGATTTATCGTCGTGAATATCTCCACATCCTTATATGATTCTAATTAATCTCCTTTACTTTTATAATTAGGTATGGTATGTGGGAGATTTTACTTCTCTAAAAATTCATACAGTTAAAGATATTGTGTGTCTGTGTATCACTATGGTATGTAGTTAGTTGCGTGAACAACTTTTATGCGTGGGCTTGTGTTTCATTGGTTTAAGGAGTAAGCAGACTTTCAACCAGTAGGTCGCGGGTTCGAACCCCGCTCCACCTACCAAGGTTTAGGCTACCAGATAGTATCATCAGTCGTCTCACACAATAAGCGTTGCTCATTGCCTGCTGATCGAATATATACAAAGTATCTGAATGCATTTCAATTTTTCGATTTTCACTTCTTGTTTGTACTTATTTCTGAGTTGATAAATATTCCATATTAAGATATCTTCATGAGTAATAACACAAAATGCATATTGAGACTAAAGATAGGATTCTAGTATTAACAAAATTTAAGCATTCTATTTATTCAGTGAATTCATGTTCAACAGAGATGAAAGATTTGTCATTGAAACTTGTACATTCCTGAAAAGTAGATATAAACATAAAACAACAACTGATAGGAATTAACGTGAAAAAGCTGTATGAAACAGATCCAATAATAATGAGGTATATAATAAGTACAATGATAAGCGTAGTAACAAGTTGATTAGTTAGTGCATCACTAGAAAAACTTCTATTAGAAAACTTATATACATGATTTAGGCCATTGGTGAACAATTTTGTCGCTTACTTCCATATCTTAATTCAAAAATGATACAACTGTGAACTCTGTATTGGTTTGTGTATTAATTTATACGCCAACACTTGTTGTATTGCTCAATTTAGTTCTTTGTAATAGTTCTTTGAGATTTCAATATGAAACTCTTCATTTCTTGAAAGCAGAATACTTGAGCCAACGATCCACATCTCTCTACATACCTTATTCAGATATATTCTAAGGATTCTTCCTGACCCGAGCATCAGTTTTATTTGCCATCTTATTCGTTATCGGTTGATTTCTTAGTAAATTCTCTACTTCTTCTTCTTATGCTCAGTTTCCAGTTATGATGTTTGGTCCAACATCGATTATGTGTGTAAGTGAGATACAGAAGTACCGTTTGTCATTTGTCACGTTGAGTCATCTGTGGCGCCAACTAGAGAGATATCCGACTATCTATCAGAGAACGAGTATACTGCGCTTCAGTCCGTTCTGTCCTGCTATACGGCTGTGAGACGTGACAACTAGAAGTTAAGCAAAAGAAGCAGTTACAGGGTTTTGGTCACAGGTGTCGTCATAGCATTGCTCTTGTGTGGTGGAATCGCCGTACGAGCAATGTCAAGGTGAGGCTGAGGGTACTAGACAAGACAGTTAAGTCAGTCTGAGATTTTGAACCTTAAGCGTTTGAGGGGGCTTGGACATGTACGGCGTATTCCAAGGCACTGCCCACCTCGACGTGGCATTATAGGGTAGGCTGGATTAGGTTGGGAAAGGGCTCTGGGTGGCCAGACCAAGACGTCGCATCGGTCAACAAAGTCCCTGGCTGTTGCTTTGAGCCGTGTGAGGAGATGTCAACTGCCTTGTATGGGGTCGCTGATAACAATCAGTGGTTGAAGATTCTTGGTAACATGGATGGAAATGGGTCACAATGATGCAGATGTATTCGCTCCTTGACATCTAAAGCTTGACTATTTTCATTAACTACTTTTGTCGAATTGATTATTCTCTGATACGACATTGTCTTCTTTGATATCATTGTGTTTCTATCCACCTGTTCTTTTTTATGATACCGTGAAGTGTTGCAACGTGAGGTGATGCACTTGTGTCCGAGGTTCTATATTGATTCTGTCTACATATCTAGCAACTCTTCTTGGATTCGATCGCTGACTTCAGTGTTTCTATATAATGCACGAAATTGTGGAGGTTATGAATTTAACCGACACGTATATTTTCTTTCTTACCGACTATTCAGGAACCAGTGGTTGGAGACTCTAGGTGATCACATGGCTGAGAACCGATGTCAGTGGTGCAGATGTATCCCCACACACATTATCCTCATGTTAACGACTCTATACCGATTCTCAGCGTTTTATCATTCTTGGTTTCTCTCTTTTCGTAGTTTATATTTATTTTGAGTGGATTGTCTTATCTTGATCTTTCAGCTCACTGTCTTTTTACTTGATGTACTGATATGAGGTGTGGCAAATTGGATCGTTAGGCAGTAATGCCTGGTCCTAGATTGATCTAGATGGATGATTCATGTTTTGATGATCACAATACCCAGCCAAATATTTCCTCGCTATAGTAGTAGTACCACAGTTGTGTATCGCATTGAGACGCGCATAACACTAAACGATCTGTCTAATTTTCTAATTTTATTAACCTTTTTATTGATTGAATGAATTCTCTTTTGATATAGCTACATAGTAGGGGTATTCATATATATATATATATATATATATATATATATATATATATATATATATATATATATATATGCATGTTGGCATGAGTGTTACAGTTTCAAGATATTCGTAATTTAAATTATTTTAATTCATAGTATATTTTATGAAATAACAAGAATAAGTTTTTATTTATAAATATGTGTATGCTAAATACCTACAAGTATACTTCCGTCCTAGGCATAAGTTATTCGATTTTCACTAAGTTGTTCCTTTCAATCGATATAGTAGTTTTAGTCAGTTTTATTACTACGACTATTATTATTGTTATTATTATTATTATTATTATTATTATTATTATTATTATTATTACAACTGTTAATGACGTCCCTGGTTAAACTTTGGGCTACGGTATATATTTCATAAAACTTCCGTTTCAATTTGTTTTAATCTTTCAAATATATCGTTTAAACGCTTGGAGTTACTGTTCCACACTTTTAAAATAGTTCCAAACTATCGTTTTTCCAACTAACAAGAAATCAAAAGAGAAACGATACGCTGATAAAAGATGGGTTTAACAATGTACAGAGAAATACAATACATTACACTATACATTGGATATAACTATGTTGAATAACAGATTTTGTATCTGGAGGAATAAACTTACCATCCTTAAAATGACCCTCAGCACGCTTTTCATTCACCAGTTCAAATCAAACGTTAATCCAGTTCCAGATGTCTGTTTCACATTGTGACTTTCAGTACTGTTGCTATTCTCATTATTACTTCGCTTAAAAAATATTGTACAGAGAATAAATTTGTTAAACTATTATTCATATGCTGAGAATTACATACTTGTACCACCCTAGCAACTGCTGAAATAACCAATCAAGCTTTGTATTTCATTTGGAAAAGTACTTTTTCTCAAAAAAAGGATATGATTACCTGTTTCATCAGTTGCTAGGGTGGCCATTAAAGTCACTGTTCACAAGGTTGGTAAACGATCACTAATGTCTACTAGAATGTTTACTACGTACTGCAATTTTCAACGTGTGTCATGTTAATATAGTATCCTAAGTTGTTTTATTCAAGTATAATATTGCTATGATGATTCTTATGATACATACTTAATATTGATCCACTTATTTTCTAGCATATTATTTTATTTCCTCTTTTTTTCCGTTATTTTTGTTTACTGATTAGAAGTTTTATGATACTAAACTGTTGAATTGAAAATGACACTGAAAAAGTTAACTATATTGATATTGTATCATTTAATGTTATACAATATATTCTTTTAAGCGAACCAGAGAATGAGTCGAATCTGGATTGTGTTAGGAGTACAGTTAATTAACTGACCGTCTTAACAGAAATCAATGTCAAGATAGTATTCATCGTTTAGTGATATCAGTTGCAGAACCATTGTAAAACTGAGAGCATTGGGTAATTGTTTCGTCCAAGTATGACACTCCTCAACAGTATGCACCCACAATCCTTCAAGTTTCATGGCAAACGCGTTAACCATTGAGTCACTGAATCAGAGTTCAGTGGTTCACAGTTTTCTACTTCTGTAAATTTGTGAAATAGACCGACTATCCACAAATCACTTCAGTTGGTATCCACTTTACCTTCCAATTAGTCAACCCTAAAGGTTATGGCTTTTCAATAGTTCTCTAATTGATTTCAGTCTGTTTTGAATACTACCTTTGAGATAGATATGTCTTGATATAAATTCTATTTTTAAGTGATAACTATAGAGATTACTGAATTCCTAAACTACATGCGCTGAAGTGATTACATTCCATTTTTGTCTTTGTTTTGTCCATTGCTCCGTTGTTTTTTCAATCGATAGTGACAATGAACGAAAACACTATCATCATCAATCATAAATGGTTGATTTCAGTGCCAAAAGTTTTCGCTGTGTCGTAAGCTTTCAGCTCACTTCACATACAATGCATAAAATAATTCGATTGTCTTATGAATCGTTTTAAAAGGGTACAGTGTACAGTCTGTGGATGAGTTGCACTAAACACAATATCCTTTTTGCAATACTGAGTGGTATTGATTGAAGGTGAAATGGAAATCTGACCTGCGGCTGGATTCGAACCATAAACTTCCGGGTTCCCGACCCGATACTCTACCAACTAAGCTACGAGATTCAACCGCTGACCAAATTTTTATTTCACTTCAATTACCAAAACGGATTTTGCCCAATCACCATGTGAATTAGTTGTAATGCGTTACTATCGCTTGATCGTATTCACACTGGCTACGTAGTCATGACTTCTCATCTCAATCCAAATGTAAGTGAATTAGAGAGGAGGTAGGGTATCACATTGATTATCATTTTGACTGTCTGAGTGAGATAACCATGGTTTTGCAAACTAGTATTGGTACTGGGTGATGAATGAAGGTGGAATAAAAATTTGGACCACGGCAGGATTCCATCTGGAGACCGCTAAGTTTCTGTGTGTAGCGCTCTACCTACTGAGCTTCGAGACTTGACTGCTGACTAGAATTTTATTTTGCTTGTACTTGCACAAATGTCTGTTATAAATATATATAAAAATTTTCTTCTTCCTATGATTTTCTTTTTTGTAGCTTAGCAACGCAAATGATCTTGCTCACTTATCATCAGAATTCAACAGTGCTACATCAGTACTGAATAGCCCAGCTAAATGTGGTATGTTTATTGATTACCTGTTCTCTCACAAACGGGATCCTACATGGACGGTAAGTATATATGTTGCAATAAAAACAAAATTTAACTTGTCATTAGTGTAATCAGTCACCTATTGACTTAGAAATATCACTGCTCCCATCTCAAATTTGTCACACTGTGATATCCAGTAAACAGGTGACTTTAAAGACGCCACTCTAACAACTGGCAAAATAACCAATCAAGTTGCGGTATTTTGGCCAGGAAGCCAATTTGTCATCGAATAGGGAAATATGATTGGTTGTTTTATCAGTTGGTTGGATGACCTTTAAAGTCAAATCAGTCGACTGAATTCCACTTTGATATGATGGAAAAGGTTTTGTAGCTCAAGATGAGAATGCTAGTGGTTCGGTGTTCTCTAAGCTTTGTCATTTTATGGTGGAAGTTTCACCACCTGACTGACATCATCAACGTCAACTTCATAAAGCAGTGAAATACATTCGAATGTTACACTAATTTTTGGATTCATGCAACAGATTAATCAAATACAATAAATGAAGTGATTGCAATGCAACAAAAAATATTAGAACCAATCATCTGGCTAGGTAGATTATATTATCATTATTTTTTGCCCTTTGGGTTCCTAGTGGAACATAAGGCTTTACTAGCACGTCTCCACTCCACTCTGTTCTCTGCTATCTTTTGAACCTGGCTCCACGACAGCCCAGTAGCTCTCATTTCTTCCTCACACGATCTCGTCCATGTCACCCTCGGACGCCTAACTCGTCGTTTCCCATATGGGTTCCACTCGGGGGCCTGGTGCGTGATGTCTCCAGTTGGCCTTCTCAGTGTATGCCCAATCTATCTCCACTTGTTCCTGCACGTTTGTCAAGTGATAGGTTCTTGGTTGGTTCGCTGCTTGGTCAGAGTTCCTTGTTGCTTATTATTATCATTATTTTGGCCATCTGAGCTTCAGTAACGAGCCAGCGTGGGGGTAGTTGTTGATGAATGTCTGTAGTTTGTTGGAAATGCCTTTTCGTAGCGCACCAAGTTTCTGAGCCATATAGGAGCACTGACTTGACATTGGTGTTGGTGTTGAAAATCTGGATCTTATTCCTTTATGATGAGTGCAGAAGATCTCCAGATGCGATGAGTAAATTGCCATCAGCTATCAGTATGACAACTAAGACCAAAGCCGAGAAAAGGAGGAGGATGTTGAGTGATAGACTACTGGAACTGTCACAACCAACAGAGCAGGAATTATTGAAGGACTATTTAGTGAATTTTTCAGAATGTCCACTATCTAAGACGGTGTACGATTTACTTCTACGGGGATTGAACTACAACATTGGAGATGTAAACTAACTAAACTTGTACACTTCTTTGGAATTTACAGTAAAACCTCCAGGATTAAACATTGAGCAGTAACAAGAACTATATCAATCAGTTGTATTTCTAGTGAGAAGCAAAAGAAATCAGGACGTATTAAACACAAAAGAAAGGACTACGCTAAATTGTAATATTACCATCGGATAAAGAAAGTAAAAAACGGTCATAAAGAACAAAACAGAATGTATGAGCCAAGAAGACACAAGAATTACCGAAATCCAAAGAAAACTGAGTAATTTAATAAAACTTGGCCAAATCACAAGAAAGAAGGCCAATAGTGAATGAAGACAAACGGACCAGTCGTAGCGAGATTCTATAGTCAATCCATGAGGAAGAATAAATATCATAGGTATTCCGCAGCAATTACCTAGGATACTTTCATCAGTCTATCGAAATAATTATATAGAAAACTTAAACGTCTAGTCAATAGAAGGGGGAACACTCAGTTCCCTCAGTAACTGAGTTTATAGACACAATAAAAGATTTGAAGATCGACAGTGGTGAAATGATAGTGCATTCACTCTGTGCGTTAATTGACTTAAGCCTGGTTAAGGAGACAATAGATATTCTTTTGAAGAATGACCAAACTCTTTGTTACTACGCAAACTCACTGTTACAAACTTATTAAAGTTGATCGATGTATATCTGATGCTTAACATTTCGTTAGGAAGATTTACAAACAAATAAATGAAAAGGATATCTGTAGGATTGTCAATATCAGGATTGATTCATGAAGGAGTGATGCAGAGGCTAGCATAACTAATCAACCCACTTACATAAATTTGGATTCGGTACGTTGACGATACGTTCTTAATTCCCAAGGAGGATGAGATAGAAAGTACATCCGAACTAATAAACAAGGCATTCACTTCTTCAAAGGAAGAGGAGGCCAGCAACAAAATTCTGTTCTTAGATATCCTCATCAGCAGAACGTATGGTGGGTTTTTACAAACTTAAATGTACAGGCGATTCACATACTGATCAAATTTATAACTATCACAGGAACAACTCTACAGTGTACAAACTCTATTCTCAAGAGCCAAAACGCACTACACCATTGGAGCAATATGGGAAGCGGAAGCAAAATACCTTTGTTCAAAAGCAATGATTATCCACTCATCTTTATCAAAAATTGTTTATTAAGAGAACAGAGGACAGGCCAATTGCCTCAAACCGATAAGCGCCCTACTTCAGTCTTCTATATCAAAGATATGTCAGAAACTGTCAAGTGATTGAGTCGCCTGTTCAGAATTGGGATAGCGCACAAACCAATGAAATCACTAGAAAGCATGTTATGCAAACCAAAGAATCTGTTGACAAAGGAAGACAGGACAGATATAATCTACAAAAATAGCTGCAAAGATTTTTCACAGCATTGGATTGACCATGTGGTAATCCTCCAAAGAGTAGGTTGAATTTCTAGAGACCATGACATTTCAACGAAAAGTCGATCAACTGACACATGGATATGAAGGCAATCTAAAATCTACTTAGGAAGAAAAATCACCATCCATCAAATGAGAGCGAGTTCACCAAATAAATTAATAATGAAGTATAGTGTGATAGTTACAAATAGCACAATTCTCTACTAGTGTGACGGAGTGAATTTTAAGGTCAGAGAGGTCAGGGTGTGACAAAAATCTCTTTCCCGACTTATAACTGGCCAACAATCAGTCAATAAGGACACTACCTAAACATTCGTGTAATATTCGAATATGCTTCACTTCTATGTGAACTTAGTGCTGAAGATATCCACGACAAAATACCAAAGCTCAGTGAACTCCACTTTGTATATACAGGAAATATCTAAATATCCTCATTTTGCTTCCCATACAAACCATTAACTATTGTATTGTCATGATGAGCAAACTAGCCACTGAATAACATTGTGCTTAGCGTGAGATATGACAATTCTGAGTTTTACCCCATGTCCAGTGCTTGTTTGTTCCCTCGTATACTACTGGGAGCGTGTGGGTGGTTGACACTTCCCGGCTGCCTACACTGTAGAAAGTTATTTCTTCTTAGTATACCAGAAACAGAGAAAAAGATCTGTGTGACCACAGAGCCCATGGAACATCTGCTTTAAGGTCTCTCATACACACAGCATTTTGTGGATTGTTGTTTTGAGATTTGGTTGTTTTAACACTGGACAGACAGGACGTATACTGTCGACACTGGAAGACTGTAGGGAGAAGGAGGAGTTTGCTATTCTGTGAGCATACCTTTCCTACCCCACGTCATCCAAGGGAAACACCTTGGTACTGTCAAATCTCACCCAGCCAGCAGCACGACTTCGTCCTCAAACTTGCATCATTGCGTCGCAATTTAAACTGTAACGGTAACGTTTTCGTCTTATCATTCTGGTATGGTAGAGAAAAAGCATTCCGCTAGCTTAGCTTGTTGGCTCATTGTGATATGCAAGCCTGATCACCACGTCGGCCAGGTCACTTGCTTGTTTTTTTCCTACCCCTACCCTACATATAATTTCAATTTAACCGAATAAATTATCCAGATGCATTGATCCTTTAATAATATACATTGAAACTTGGTCAATGTATGCAGTCGGCTGGGTTACATTACTTATGTATACTTTCTTACTTTCATTGGTTTGAATTCTATGGCTTACTATAGTCATCCATATAATGCTTACAATACTTTGTGTATTTCAGTTATTTTATCTTGTCAACCAATACTTTCATCGATCAATTGCTGCATCTAAAGAATTGTGTAAAGATGAGAAACGTGTTTGTGTTGAGATATTTACAACATTTCTGCATGAGAAGTCGGTAAGTGTTTACTCTTATTTTACTTGTCATTCATTGGTATAGTACATTTTTATGTATACCATTTCTTTTTTCTTTTTTGCTTGTTCTTCTACTGGATTGTTTTTTGATCAGATGACAGTGTTACTAGCTGATTTTTGGAGTGGTTTTAAAAGCCATCCTAATAACAACTGAAATACGCAATCAGACTTCTTTGTTTTATAAAAATCTGCCTTTCCAGTCGAAATGAACAAACCTAATTGGTGATTTCGATTGTTGCTAGGGTGGCCCTTAAAGTCGCCTCTGATTTTAACGATAATTTTAAAAATAATTGATTTTAACTATTAGTTGGTTGGATGCAATCGGCAGGAAGCCCTGGACCTAGGCTTCATGCTTTTTGGCACTCGTCAGCAAGGTGTATCTGCGCCCTCGACGGAACTGATGTCCCGCATTGCAAATATGATCGGTAGAATTCGATCTGCGCTCAGGACTAGACAACATGAAATTGGTTGCACTCCAGTGACCAATCAATACATGTAAGCCAGTCCTATAGGAGGCCAGCCGCGGCCCGAATAGCTCAGTGGTAAAGTCGCTGACTACAGCACTAGGTGACGCGTGTTCGAATCTCGGGCGGGACATCAGTTCCATCGAGGTTGCAGATACGCCTTGCTGACGAGTGCCAAAAAGCACGGAACCTAGGTCCAGGGCATCCTGGTGATTGCCTCCAACCAACTAACATCTACTAGTGTTCACCGCTTCCTATCTTGGTTGCCGCATTGCAAATATGATCGATAGAATTTGATCTGCACTCAGGACTAGACAACATGAAATTGGTTGCACTCCCATGACCAATCAATACGTGGTTTTAACTATATTCCATAGTTTTTATTGTTGTTTTTTTGTAAACAGGTGTTGTGTGAATATGCTGAGTTCCTAGTGGAACATAGGACTTCAGTAGTAGCACGTCTCCATTGCACTCTGTTCTCTGCAGTCTTTTCAACCTGGCTTCACGATTGCCCACATCCTTTCATTTCTCCCTCACGCGATCTCCCCCATGTCACCCTCGCTTTGGACACCCAACTCGTCGTTTTCCCATTAGACTTCACTCGAGTACCTGACGAATGATGTCTCCGAATGGCTTTCTCAGTGTATGCCCAATCCATCTCCACTTTCTTCCTCTGCATATTTGTTGGGACAAATAATAATAATAATAAATGTATATATTAAGAAGTGTAGGCATTCATATCGAAACCAGTAGGCGAAGAGAATCTGAACAATGATCCACTCGTCAGTGTTTCAATAACTTGACACTATCCGTAATTTCTCAGATTATGAATTCGGCCTTCTGCTTGATTACTGAGTTTCATTGGTATTTTATTGTCATTAGCGCATGTTATACTACTACTAATTGCGCGAATTTTACTTCCGAGTTGGAAGTGTTGCAGTGCTCAAAATTTGTTTAAATACTTTTTATATATCCCGAGTGGATATAGTACGCACGCTTAACTGACAGCCAACTTCATAGGCAAGAATCGCCGATTGTAACTCGAGATGAATAGATAAGAAGGCTGAAGCTGGATGCGAGAGTTTATTCCTCTGAGAGTAATAATCAGTTAACCCAAACATACATGAGTATGTATACGCATAAGATATGAATTTCATTTAGACTATCTGAGGTAGCTGTGGTTTAACAGACTTGTATGGATACTGCGTGATGATTGAAGGTGAAATGAAAATTTGGATCATTGCCAGATTCAAACCAGCTACTACAGGGTTTCCTGTCCAGTGCTCTACTAACCCACCTACGGCATCCGACTGCTCACCAGGTTTTTATTTCATCCCAATCACTATGGCTTCTTCCTGATGCGTTTCCACCACTTGATCGTATTCACACTGAGTATCTAGTCAGGGCTTCTCATCTGAATCCAAATGTAACTGAATTAGTGAGGAGGAGGAGAAGGTGGGTAATCATATTGATTATCATTTTGACGATGTGATATAGCCGTGGATTGGCAGACTTGTATTGATACTGGATGATGATTGAAGGTGAAGCGAAAATTTGGACCCGGTGGTCGCTGGTTTGAATCTGGTCACGGTCCAAATTTTCATTTCACCTTCAATCATCATTACCCGGTATAGATATGACCTTGTCCACGAATTGAGACATTAACATAGTAAAAATAAGCATTAACCAATCTGCGAATTACATTGATAATTAAGGCAAAAAATGAACTACTAGTCATGCTGTAAAATATCGATCGAAATATACTCAGCAACCTTGTTCTTATTCGTCTAGTAGGCAATGTACCGAACCTATTGTGTACGGACTAGTAATAATACTTGGCTGCCAAAACTTTAGTAGGTAGAGTGGGGCTCAAACTTGTGGTTCAGGTTGTTGGAAGTCACCTCCTTAAAACAATGAACTACAGCGCTACAATGGAAGATTAGAAATTAGTGTGTACGTTTGAGCTAAGTATAGTATCTCGTTGACGACTGACTGATATTAGGATTTGAAACTAGCACAAGATTTTTAGTGAGATGAGATGATTTTCTCCAGGTATCAGAAAGTTGGTATACTGTCTTCAATTCATTAATTTAGTTGCATCTTTTATTTTGGACTTTTATCATATTAGTAAAGGACTTCAGTTTGTTCTGCCTGTGTCAACATTTTACAGTACAGAGATTCTTCTTCACCTATTCATCAGTTGTTCGCTTAAACAGAGGTCTTGGGTCTTTTAAAAAGGGAATAATTAGGAGTATAAGACTTAAGCCTATAATTTGTGACTCCTTCCTATGTTATGCAGGAATGTTTTAATCTTTATTCTGTTTAACCACTTATGATGATATTGAAGATTATTATTATTATTATTATTATTGGTCCCTTGGGTTCCTAGTGGAACATAGGGCTTCAGTAGCACGTCTCCAGTGACCTCTGTTCTCTGAGATCTTTTGAACCTGGTTCCACGACAGCCCAGTAGCTCTCATTTCCTCCTCGCACGATCTCCTCCATGTCACCCTCACCACGGACACTCAACTCGTCGCTTCCCATGGGGATTCCACTCGAGTAACTGGCCTGACGCGTGATGTCCTCCGTCGGCCTTCTCAGTGCATGCCCAATCCATCTCCACTTCCTCCTGCATATTTGTTGAGTGATAGGTTCTTGGTTGGTTCGTTCCCAGAGTTCCTTGTTGCTTATTCTTTCTGGCCATCTGATCTTCAGTAGCGAGCCAGCGTAAGCAGTTGTTGATGAATGTCTGTAGTTTATTGGAAATGCCTTTCGTGACGCGCCAAGTCTCTGAACCATACAGAAGCACTGACTTGACTGATGTTGGTGTTGAAAATCCGTATCTTGTTCACGCTTCATGCTGAGTGCAAAAGATCTCCACACTGGTTTCAGGCTAATGAATGCCTGTCTTGCTTTTCCGATTCTGACTTTGACATCCTCGTCTGTGCCTGTCCCGCCTGTAGTTGAAACAGTGCTTCCTAGATAGGTGAAGGAGGTTACTTCCTTTAAGTTTCTCCCGTTGATGGTGATTGGAGTTTGTTGTTGTTGTTGGTGGTGAGGTATCTTCATCACCTCTGTCTTCTTTATATTCACCTGAAGTCCCGTCTTAGCTGCCTCTTCTATCAACTTGTTAGTTTTTGCCTGCAGATCTTCAAGTTTGTGTGACATCAGGCACAAGTCATCGGCGAAATCCAAGTCTTCTAGGTTCTTTTCCGCAGTTCAGTGTATCCCCCTCTTCTCGCTGCCCACTGTTTGCTGCATGATCCAGTCGATATTGAATATGACGGAAAAATTCAACGTAGAGCCTTGTATACAAGCTTATCACCTAAAGTTGCTACACTCCATGGTACTATACAAAGAACAAGTGGGTAGAAGTAGAGTGATAACAAAATAGACAAAATTGTATGAAATAATAAAGATAACGGTTAGTGCAAATATCCAAGCTTTAGAAGACGATGAGGAGCGAATACATCAGCCTCATTGTGACGAATTTTCAGCCATATGTCATTAACAGTCCTCAATCACTGATTTCTATTGTCTCAGAGACGCTAGCTAGGTGGTATACACCTCTCAGCACAGCTGAGACCAGCCTGAATCCTTTTCTAAAGTAAACCAACTTCTAGTTTTACGCGTTGAATTGGTTGAGGATTTGCAGTACATGTCAAAATCATTTCAGTTGATAAAGTTTCATGAATTGAGTTCCCTGTCTTGTCTAGTGTATCATTTGTCTGACCTCGACATTGCTCACACAATGACTCCAACCTACATGAAGAATGCTACGAAAAAATAGCTTTTCGGATTCCACTGATTCATTCATTCACTCAGATATATATATATATATATATATATATATATATATATATATAATAGGGTTGTCGGCATTGACTTACTTGTTCACTGAATATACGAATACACTCGAATTTAGGTGTATAACTACGCTTACGTCAAAACCAAAAGTATTTGTTTTCCTTTTTTTTAAAAAAATGCCTATTTAATTATTTAGATATGTTTTGAATTTAAGTAGAAACTGGGTTTTTTTCCCCTCTTTACTTTTGTCATCCGATAGCATTTTTTTTTCCTTATTCATTTAAAATATGACAAAAAAAACTGCATTCCAATGTGTTATCTGGCAATCTTTTATATCTTAACAACTTTCTTCATTGATTTATTACCTCGTTAAATATATAAATAATGAAGCAATTAAATGGACAAAGAAATAATTTTTTTTTCCACCTATATTTATTGATACTTCTAGAATCGATTGTATTCTTTACTTTTCAAATGTGAAAGAGAAATTAAAAGTTTTTCTTAGTTATTACATGATATGATAATTTAGACTGAAGTGTAATAATAGATAGTGGTTAGTAGTGGAATCCAGTGTGTACATGTTTCGTCCTATTTAGGACTCGTCAACTGGATATATCTACGTTTCAATGAGTGATGTTATTCCTATTGAAACGTGGAAGCTAGGATTGATTAGGTTAAATACCAAAACCGTTATTCACTGGATTACTGAGTCACAATAATCACAGGTATAGTTTTAATGTTGTATTCCTTGAACTGAATTGATGTATATACTTTTAATTTCAAATATATGAGTATTAAATATGCCTTATATGTCTTATCTTTTACTAATGAACTTGTTTTGATGACTATCACTAGTTTAAATGTGAAATGAAGGTTTTCAACAAGGTCAAACGGAAGTGATCAGGTATATCGCAAGTGAATGAGATCTGTTTAGAGATTTATCATTCATATGTCTAAACTATCAAATAGAATCGTAGTTATAAAGTTACTTTTATCTGCTTTCATTTCAAAAGATTTAGTGATACTTTGACCAATAGAAGATCTGAGATAAGTTTGGCCTGATCACAGAAATTGTACTCAAATTATTTCAGTTCACTAACTTACCAACTGTCTTATATCCCTTTATTATTATTTGTCCCTTGAGTTCCTAATGGAACATAGGGCTTCAGTAGCATGTCTCCATTCCACTCTGTTCTCTGCAAACTTTTGAACCTGGTTCTACGAAAGCCCACAAGCTTTCATTTCTTCCTCATATGATCTCCTCCATGTCACCCTCACCTCGGACACCTAACTCGTCGTTTCTCATGTGGGTTCTACTCGACGACCTGGCCTGGTGCGTGATGTCTCCAGTTGGCATTCTCAGTGTATGCCCAATCCATCTCCACTTCCTTCCAGTGCATATTTTTTGAGTGATAGGTTCTTGGTTGGTAGCTTATATCCCTTAGTTACACAAAATCTTGTTATATATATATTCGTGTGTATTGACCTAAACTATCTAATATGAACTTTCTACCTTCATTTTTCTTGTTAGCCTTTACGTTTAGATATACGAACTCCGGTTGTATTGAAGGCATTCGATTTGAATGAATGCTCAAAATTGTTTACTTCAATTAGTCAAATATGCTTGAATGAAATACAATCACAGGTTTCCAAATTAGCAGAAGCGATAAATCTTGGTTAGTTTAACGTTTTTTTTTGCTTGTTTTCTTCATTGTTATTTATGTTTAATTGTACTTTGTTTGAGATTTCTATTATGATTGTTTTCTGTACCACTCTTTAATTCCATTTATGACGTTTGTAGAAATGATATAGGGAAAGAGGTCATCATTAGTAAATAGTTTATCATTTTGACTAAGATAGCAGCCGTGGTTTCGTAGACTAATATTTATACTGTATGATGATTGAAAGTGAAATGAAAATTTGAATCGCAGTCGGATTCGAACCAGCCACCATCGGGTTCCCCTCCCGATCCTCTACCAACTGAGTTATGAGCTCCGACTGCTGATCAGATTTTATTTCAATTCAGTCATCACCCAGTATAAATACACTAGCCTGCCAAACCATGATTATCCTAGATAGTCAGAATGATAATGAATGTGATTCTCTCCCTTCTCTCCAATTCAGTTACATTTGGATTGGGATGACAAGTCCTGACTAGGTAGCCACTATGAATTCGATCAAGCGGTAGTAACACGTGACGAATTCACAGGGTAGTCGGGAAGAAGCTATGGTGATTGGGATGAAATAAAAATCTGGTGAGAAGTCGAACCTGGTAGGTCAGTTGGTAGAGCATAGAGTGACAAACCCGGTGTTCGATGGTTCGAATCTGGCAGTAGTCCAAATCCTCATTTCACCTTCAATCATCACCGAGTAAATAGTTTCTAAATCGTACACTAATCGGTTACTGAATGTTATGTAGTGTGTCTTCTGAGTGGTTGAAGTTTAGCTACTGACTGTATATTCTGTCTCTTCAGCCAAGTGGCATGGTATTGTGGTGTGAGCGAGAGACAGATGCATTCAGCAGCAGGTAATGAGTTACACTTATTGTGTAAGAGCTAATGATACTAAGTGACTCTCCAGACCTCGGTAGTTGAGCAGAGCTCTAACCCGTGACCCATTGGTTGAAAGTGATCTCCGTAGACCACTGACACACAGCTTTGCACGCTGTGATATACTCTGTTTTCGTGTTAGATGGTGAGAGTGAATTGACACAAAGCTGTGGATGTTGGTTATGCACTTGTTCAACACTAATCAGCAATACATGTCTGCATCGTTTAGGAAGTTCTTATTCTAGAGGTAGTATTCATCACGGAATGAAATCAGTTGGGGAACCATTGGGGCACTGGACAGTTGTTTCATCTTATTATGGGGCTCCTCGGCAGTACGCACCCACAACTCGGCTAGGGTCGAACTCAGGACCTTCATGTAAATAAAAATACATTACCGTGTAATCCTCATTATTGATATGCTTCCAGATGGATATCACAAAGTTCTAATGAGAAGCCATGACCTCTGGGGTCAACCAGTCGAAAGAGAAGCGGATGCCAACTGAAGACTTTGGGTGACAGTCGGGCTATATCGTGAATTGACAGAAGTTGGAAACTGTGAACTATTGGAAACAGACTCAGTGTCTGAATGGTTAACGCGTTCACTGGGAAACCTGAAGGTCCTGAGTTAGATCCCTAGCCGGGTGGTGAGTGCGTACCGTCGAGGATTCCTATATATTGTTATGCTCTTAAAAGATTCAAATATGACTTAATAAATTGGAATTTTGAGACTTTACAATTATCTCTACCTTTAACTGCTTAGCATTAAGTTGGTTGAGAAATCTGAGTATTTTTCGGATATGATGAAGGAACAACTTGATTGTGGAAATATATACTACTACCTACGCCTTATTAGAGGTATTTATGCTTAAATTTCATCTTGATTCCAGTCATCCAGATGTATCCATGCATTATCTCTCCATCGTAATCGTCATTATCGCATTTTACTACCGTTTTTGCCATTCTTCTTCTGTTCATATTGCTTTCAATAACAGCTATTTCGAAATTACCTCGTGTCTTGTGCTGATTTGTAGTGTGGTAATTCAAACCCGTTACACAGCGATCCCAGATCATATTTTGATATTGCATGAGAGTGACTTACCTAAACTTCTTCAGATCAACTATTTCTTCACATCATTCTCATATTCAAATTTAGTAATATCAGAAAAGGTTTATTGTTGTGTAAAAACCTACTCTTACCTTAGTCAAATCCAGTACTCGATTGAATTTTTATCTCAGATGTAGCAACATTTTTATCACTTCAAAGATCCATGTAGTTCTGTTCACATACAATAAAGTTTTTCTTCCATAGGATAGATATAGAGGTACGTAAAAACGTCGTATTTTCTGTCTGTTACGTCATAAAGCAGCTTAATTTCTATAAGAGTTAAACGGTTTAGGCAGTATTTAGGCGTAACGAATTAGTACGTGGAGATTTTTTCTAGGCACTGATAATTCTAGTGTTATTACTTGTATTATTCCATCGTTGATCGAATTGATCGGTTTCTATTAGCATTATGGACTCTTGCGTGGACGTTTCGGTATTGCCTGTCTATTAATTATATGTACTTTGAATATTTTGTCGAGAATTTGATTGGACACTTTTTTATTTCTCCCTGTTATACATATTAGGTATGGATACATGGTGCCTTTCAGAACCAATAGATTTTCTTCTTCTCCGTAACAAAGAAGAGGAAATAGCATCTTTTGAATCCCGTCTAAGCAGCTACCTTGAATCATTGTATCATTTAGCAATGGGTAGCTGCACGGAAAATCCGGTGGCTCTTAGTATTTGTCGACTGCCGAACACAGCAGCGACAATTACAACTGAACAGATTGCTCAGGCTATTATCACATGTTTGGTTACAACTCATAGGTATTATTCCATGCCTCGTGTATCGAGTGCAGATTATCCTGAAACTAGGGAAGCTGGACATTCTATTAGACACAGTATTTTTGCAAGGTAAGTCCGTTCACCTTATTATCCATTATTATTATTGTCATTATTATTATTATTAATAACGATAAAAAACTATATAAATTATGATTGAGGTTGGTGAAAGTGCCCAAAGTTTTTATCCAACTTGATTATGATTTTTTGTCACTCATAGGACTCACAGGTGCTGTTTGTCCCGGAGCATCATGACAGCATGAAACAGCTATTCAGGTTCCCTCTTTTTTCGACTGTAACCTGGCTAGGGAACAATATTAAAGCACAGATCATTGAACCACTCAAGGGTAACTTAAAAGCTGAACGGGAAATTATTATTATTATTTGTCCTTTGGGTTCGTAGTGGAACATAGGGCTTCAGTTGCACATCTCCATTTCACTCTCTTCTATGCAGTCTTTTCAACCTGGCACCACGACTGCCCACAAGCTTTCATTTCTTCCTCACACCATCTCCATGTCACCCTCAGCCGGGGCACCCAACTCGCCGTTTCCCATTTGGATTCCACTTGACGGCCTGGTCTGGCCTTGTCCGTGATGTCCACAAACTGTCTTCTCAGTGTATGCCAAATCCAATCCATCTCCACTTTCTTCTGCATATTTGTTGGGTTCTTGGTTGGTTTATTGCCAGCCAGCGAGAGTTCCTTGTTGCTTATTCTTTCTGGCTATCTGATCTTCAGTATGAAGTGAGCGTAGGCGGCAGCTGTTGATGAACGTCTGTAGTTTATTGGAAGTGCTTTTCGTGACACGCCAAGTTTCTGAACCCTATAGCAGCACTGACTTGACGTTGGTGTTGGTGTTGAAAATCCGGATCTTGTTCATGCTTCATGCTGAGTGCAGTAGATCTCCACACTGATTATTTCAGATTAATGTAGGCAGGCCTGTCTTGCTTTCTTTCCGACCCTGGCTGCTTTGACATCCTCATCTGTGCCTGTGTCGCCTATAGTTGAAACGATGCCGCTTAGGTAGGTGAAAGAGACAACTTCTTTTAGATTTCTCCTATTCATAGTTATTGATGCTTGTTGTTGATGTTGTTGTTAGTTGGGTATCTTCATCATCTCTGTCTCTCTACAATTCACTTGAAATCCTGTCTTCACTGCCTCTTCTGTCAACTTGTTGATATCTGCCTGTAGATCTTCGAGTTTGTACGACAGAGATTGTTTATGCAAATGTATATATTCACATGTTGGAGCTGAGAGATCTGATCTGTGGAATTTCAACCACCTCATCATGTACTGTTAATATGTGACACACATCACTTCAGAGCAGTAGGGATTACTAAACCTTTCAAGTGGTTTCAATACAACAACCCCATCCTATGTTCTTTGATAAACACTTAGTTGTTCAGACTTTCGCTTATGTCATTCTTGTTAATGGTGTTGTAAATTTATATACTTACATATGATATAACATTTCTCTCAACAAATCCTAATATCATAATGATTAGAAATACCCAGTATGATACATACCTATCATTTGAACGGATATTTATCTATTGGTTTTCAAGAGAGAACAGAACAGGTATCTAGGCTTTTTAAAACCAGAACGGTATACAGTTTTATCCTATGGCATAACCACACAGGTAACTTCACCTCGGTAGACCAAGATAGCGTGAAGAATTTCTCATCTGTTCAGTAGGTTTGTTTAAATAAAATATGAAATTGATTGAAGAAATATTTTATTTTCAATTTTTTAAAATTATATATACTATTAAGCTTTATGTTTTCACCTATCATTTTATTGATAGATCATTTGAAAATCTAACCTCATCTGCATTGGGTAGTGCAGTCGGTTTAGGCAGTGTATCTGGTAGTATTGGAAGTGGACTATCATCTGCTGGTTCAAATTTATGGACAAAATTGACTTGTTATTGTACTAAAGCAAAACAAAAATCTCATTCTCTACTTAATCGTAAAACAAAAGTACGTACTTGTTTAATATTCACGAAATTCATTCTCATACACTTTTACTTGCTTGATTATCATTCTTTTTCTGTATACTTTCTCCTTTGCATTCCATTATGCATTGATAGGACTTTGTGTAGATGTTTTTATGTTCCTGCACATAATTCCTGCGTTTTACTTCTAATCTCTGGAGGTTTGTAGAGATTTATTGGTTAATTTTAGGCTGGAATTCATCATAGACTGATATTAGTTAGAAGAAAATTGGAAACCTGGGAGCACTGGATATTTGTTTCGTCGTGGTATGGGACTCCTCAACAGTGCGCACCTATCACCCCATTCCACCAGGGACTGGACCCAGGAGCTTCAGGTTCCATGGCCAGCATGTTATCATTAAGCTACTGGGTCGAAATTCAATGTTCTCTATTGCTTACCCCTGTCATTTCAGGACATAACGTGACCATCACTGAATGTCATAGTTGAGTAATTTGTTCTCACGTTCACCAGGTTTGCCACACCGGTCATGACTTTTTATTGGAACCTCAGGAGTCACCTCTCGAAGATAGACATCAATGAGCGCTAGATTAATTCCTGTGACCAGTGGAGTCAACCAAGTCGAATTTGAAGACAGTAACTAAATAACATTGGATGGAGGTCACGCTATATCATGAAGTGACAAAAGTATGAGATGTGGAACATTGGATTCCGATGCAGTGGTTCAGTGGTATGGTGCTGGTCACGAAACCTGAAGGTCCTGTGGTTCCGATCCCTGGTAGGATGGGGTGATGAATGTGCACCACCGAGGAGTCCCATACTAGAACGAAACAGCTGTTCAGTCCTCTAAGGTTTCTAATGTTCTTTCAATTGATGTCACTCCATTATGAATTCCAACCTAAAATTATAGCCAGTGCATAACAAGGGTGATTGATAAGATTCTGTAAAGTATCAGTGTAACTGCTACAAGGGCAATCTCTTAAACGACTGAACTGCCTGATTAGGTTTGAAATAAAACTCTTATGTAAAAAACCCTTTTAGTATATGGAGGTTTTTTAACGATCCTACTGACAAGAGAAAACTCAGAAATGAAGCCTGTGAAAACGTCGATGCATTAAACGAGTCATTCATACGTAAACCTGCTAATGTTATCTTATCTTACTAACTATTCACACATAACAGAAGGCAGTGTTCAATGAAATAGATGTATGCAAATGCTAAAAATCATTAAAACCTTTGGAAAGCTTCGAACCAGATGGTATACCAGGTATTCTGTTTGTGAAATATACCGATATTCTATGTCATCCACTCACAAATATTTTTAATGAATCCTTTGCCAGAAATGATGTATCAACCAACCACCTGGAAACAAATTAAAATAGGTCTGGCATCTAAGTTCATATCTTGTGGAGCAAAAGTGAAACTCTAACCGATCACAATAACTTCACCATTTTTAAAAACAGTAGAAAAACTGTTGCTTCTTTTGCTTGAACCTTCTTTTGGAGGATTTCAGAGATCCAAATCAATGTACCTACAAACCTAGAAGGAGTACTTTAGATGTTGCAGTTGTTTTACATCATAATATCATTGCCAACCTTGACAAAGTGCTTAGTATGTTAGATCTGCCTTCTTAGGCTACATTTTTGCCTTTGACTCTGCCACCTTTTATTAAACAAGTTTGCCAGAACTTACGTTAAGTCCTCGATTATAAACTGGCTTGATTCTTATGAAAGATAGTACACTCTATACATAGGAAAGCGCTCTACTTCGCTACTTAATGAAGCCAGTGTCCCTCAAGGTGGTGTTCTTTCTACTTTTCCCTTCTCTTTTTTCTTCATGACTTAATAACCTCAACTAAAGCTAATATTGTTAAGTATGCTGATGACCTAACAGCATCCATGCTGATCATCTCCTCTTCGGATTGCTCTCAGTTGAATAACTTCCTAGCTGAAATTTATCACTGGTCTTCCTTAAATAGTCTCACGTGGTTAGTTTCAGCTTAAGACGTGAACAAAACCTTTGTAAATTGGTTTAGTTCCATGGCTCTTGTCTTATACATGACCCAAGCATGATCCATCTTGGCTTATACTTTTCTTCTGATCTTGTTCCCGTTATATCTTACTGACTTCCAGGAAAATCTTTCGCTTGACCTTGTAAATAAGGAAACTCAGACTGTTTGACATAACTCACCCTCTACTTTTACGTTTCATTAATTCCTTTGTTTTATCTATTCTTACTTACTTTTCCCCCCTCGTTCTTTCCTGGACTCTGGAAAAAAGACTACACTACATTCCCTAGGATTTTGAGGGCCGTTAGTAGAGCAAATGGTGCACCACTAACCGTGCTGATAAGTGCATCTGTGTATAGGCATCTGAACTCTTATAGACAGCTGGCTAAAAGTATTTTATATGTTGACAAGCATCCTCTGCAACTGCACCTCTCTCCATATCTGTCCTCTGGGAAGACAATAAGTGAATATATGAAACTCTGTGCATGCACAACTGCATACAAAAATTCAAGCATACCACCTTATTCAGCGTGTATATTGTGTGAAGAAAATCACGTTAGACCAGAGTCTTATCAATCAACTTTGAAATAGTGAACAGTTATCATGACCCCGAAGTCATTAAGCCTTGCAACAATCATGTTATTATATCGTTAAACGGCACCATTGTTACTACATGTACTCTAAAAAATGTTGTACATGGTGAGAATTCTGTACTGTAAACAAAATTATAGTTCAGAATAAACCATATTTATTATTATTATTATTATTACTTGTGACTCGGTGATATGGTGGATAACACTGGCGTTTGAAGAGATCAGTTCCGAGTTCGAGTCCTGGTAGGATCAATATCGCTCACTTGAAGGTTGGTGCATTCGGCTGACTAGTGAGTCCTAAATGGGACGGAAAGCGCGTCATGGATTCCACTACCATTCACCGAGTTAAATGCGATATCATAAATATCAAGCTGTATCGAGGCTTCCGCATAGGAGCCCATCTGCCGACAGAGGTGGAGCAGTTAAACCCTGTATAGCAACGGCAAATTACAAGTATCAAACAAAATTCACAGATTTTGAAGTAAAAAGGATAGAGTTTAATTCATCCTAATAAAGTATAATCATAACCAATGGAAAGTTACAGAGTTAGATAATTGAAGATGGTAATCAATAGGAAGCCTTGGACCTAGGTTATATGCTTGTTGACACTCATCAACAAGCTTATATGTACAACTTTTATATCTAACCGTCTCCTTGAAGACATCTATCTCTTAAATGTTACATATCCTACTTAGTAATTGTGTTGCACATGCTCACCATGTTTTATTTTCTTAAAGAAATTCCTGATATTTTTCTATGATATATGCACAAATAAGGAGATTTTTAGTTTTTACCATTGTTTTTAGTGTTGTCATCGTTCCTCTAACTTTCCTTCCTCCAGAGTTATTACTTGATAGAGATAACTGATTATTTGTAAATGTAACCATATTGTTTATCACTTTCCAAAGCTTATTACATATAAAAATGAATTCTATATTTGAAGGTAGTAATCATATTATGTTTATTGGGAAAACAAACAAGTTGGTAATAGGAAGACCATGAATCATGCATTGAGTTATTGTTTCCCCTGGATTAGGATAGGTGATAATCTCCTATTGAGCTTTAAGCATTGTTTCACCTTTACTTAGTTGTGACTAGCAGAAGAATCCAGGATCCATGTTTCATCCTATTTGGGAGTTATCAGTTGGGTGTGTCTGCATCTCAGTGCGGAGTGATGTTATTCCCTCCGGGACTTGAACCTTGTACCCATCACTTCAAACGTCAGAGCGTTTTCAACTAGGCCATGAAGGCACGATAGCCATCTCTTGTACAACGGGTATTAGTCATTACTATTTATTGATATCCTTGTGATTATCCATTGTTTTACTGGATCTATGGACTACTCATATGGGCTCCCATTCAGACGCCTTGATATTAAATATGGTAATGGTAACTATGGCAAGCACATCCAGCTGACGGGTCCCAAATAGGAGGAAACGCGCATTTTGTATTCACCTGCTATCCACAACCAATATCAATAAGTAGTAATTGTTGAATTAGAATGTGTCATTTTTTCCAATTTCTTTTGTATTTATCAACAAAGACGACTAATTTTAATCATAGTGAACTTGTAGTTTTGCCATGATTGTTTTCAAAAAATGTGATCCACTGTATATATATTTTTTCTAAGCAAATTAACCATCATCTGATATCTCATGTAACGATACCTTTACTTCTCAGTTTTCATGGAACTTTATCATTGGAGAAATTTGTTGCAACCACTAAATTAATTGTAACTTGCTTGGTGGTATCTAGTAGTGGGATGCAGGACATTCGTTTCGTCCCACTTGGGAGTCTTCGACCAGATGTATCTGCACTTGGATAAATGATGTTGTTCCCACTAGGACTCGAACCTAGCAACCATTGCTTCAAGCGCCAAAGTGTTAGCCACTCGAGCACCAAAGCCACGTGTTATGCGACGAGTATCACTTATTATTATTTACTGATCCTTGAAGTCTCCCGCAAACATGGATGGAGGTGTTGGGTTTGAGTCTCACTGTGGATGACAGGTACATCCAGATGACGAAATGTGCGTCCTGGTTTCTTCTACTAGACACCAAGATCAACATAATAATCACGGGAGATTACAAGTATCAATAAATGACACTAATCTAATTATTAATGTGCTGTGATACACTACCAATATGAATAAAAACGTTTTACTACTGTTTATTTCATTGTTTTATTTTAAAAAAAATACAATTAATTGTTTCCTTTCTCATCAAAATATAATTTTAGTGGTCTCACAAAGGTCATTCCTTCTATGAATACTCTTATGAACGTATTGCTGAATGTGGTATATGTGGATTTTTGTTATGGGGGATTCATTCACAAGGTTTCTATTGTAATAGTAAGTTTCCAGTTATTGGTTGTTGATTTTTTTTCAGTTACTGTAAATGTCTTTTTCCTGTCTATATGATATGATCATAAATTTATTTTTGTTCACAAGAGTTAGTTAGCAATTGAATGAATGAATAAAAGAAATCACAATTCAGAAATTCATTAAATATGGATAGTGGCTAATAGTGGAATCCAGGACGCGTGTTTCGTCCTATTTGGGACTCATCAGCTGGATGTACCTGCCTCTCAATGTTGTTCTTACTAGGACTCGAACCTAGGGCCGATCACTTTTAACACCAGAGCGTTATCTACTAATACAAGCAACAATATCATAAATTCATTGTCAGATGATAACACAAATTCACTTCTTTACTCCTCTGTGATATTCATTTACATGAATTGAAGTTGTACATATTTAGTATACATTAGTAAAAGTTAGTTTAATTCACCAAAAATCTACACGATGCTTAGCTAAATAGTTAGAACCAATTCCTGATAATCTAATTGTCTCATAGTGTAGTTGATATCTTTCAGTTCGCCCAACTCATTGAAGATTTGAATATCTCGAATAAGTTCATGGCTGTCTGTTTGATGTTTATTCTTTGTTTACACGTTACAAAAAAAAACAACCAACAACCAACAGTCTGAGATTTTTCAGTTTATGTCAGCAAAATAACATGATATATTGACTCGTGAATTATGTCATGGTTACAATTATGCATTGCTAATACATGTTAACAAAATCCAAATTCTAAGTGTATAATTTTTTGGGATTATTTACAAATATAACAACATAATGTTGTACGTTTGTAATCCACCCACTTTGCTTAGTATCCACAGTAAACTTTATTTAACATTCAGATATAAAACAACACACCAGTTTTCATGTAACAATAAGTCACGATAAAAGCTAACACGAAAGTGTGTCAGTTCAAGTTGTCAAGCTTGACAACAGTATGCAAGAAATAGGTGAATACGAAAAGTGATATCAGGTAGATAAATGTGTTTCAGAAGTGGGAGAATAGAGAATAGATGAAGGTTGATGAAAATATATGGAATGTATGTTATCATGTTGCCAGGAATCTACAAATATTAATTATTTTCCTCTCCATGATCTGACTAGCTCAACCGACATCCTCTGACTCATCCAAGATCAACAGTCACGAATTTTTCAGGCTGGTATTCACCATGGGCTGACATCGGTTGGAGGAACATTGGAAAGCTCACCTACTAGCCAACCCTTCCAGGTGTTGAACCCAGGACCTTCAGGTTCCATGGCCAGCTTATTACCATTGAGCCACTCGACTAAAATTTAATGGTCCATATTTCCAACTTTTGTCAGTTTATGACTTAGCTATCCTTGAGTATTTGTCCTGAAGGCCGCCAAGAATTTCATCAACTAATGCCACTACTTAAATCGGTTGAGCATGTTCTTCTTCAAACCTGAAAATTCACTTTTCGTCTAACATTTCATGTTGAGACAGGCTGTTTTTCTTCATGGACAACACATGTCCAAGCTATTTCAGCTGCTTCAAATACAAGTTTTATCAGTTGACTTGCCTATTTTGTCTAGTCTCCTATGTCAAACCTCAGAGTTACTCATGGGAATTCCTATATATATCCTACTGCTTCATAGGCTTAATTTTTTCAACGCAATCAGCTCCCTGGCGATATCTTGAGAAGCACCGATATATGAACCAATTTTTTCAATAGCTGAATGGTACTAGCTACCTCTTTTAGTTATATATCTAACTTTCGATTATTGGAATAATATTTACGTATTCATAATGTACCCCTTTTTTCCCTTTTAGATTGTGATCTATTTATACACTTGAAATGTAAAAATGGTATACGAGATCAGTGTAGTAGAGAAGCTCGTAGAACTGGTGGAGTATCTTCAAATGTTTTAAATGGTATTCTGGTAGTATACCAAATCTTACCGTGGATACAAATACCTTTGGGGCTTCTGTACAGCAGCAATCAAATGATTCATTGAATAGAATATCCCTTCCTGTTGCTCAGATTGGTTCAAATGATTCAGTTTATCATAGTAAGTTGGTAATAATTAGTTAATTACCACTGGTTTTAATTGTGAGCCATATCTGATAACGTTTGAAGCCACTGAGTTGCGTGATATCTCGGACCCCACCCAGGGAGTCGTGATGCACCGACAAATGCCAACTCAATACAAGTATCCTTTATCTCACGGCTCCACGTTATACACTGACCACCTCTACACTTCTTCCATCCAGTCCCATGGTTAGCAAACAATGAACGGCGTCTAAGCCTTTGGGATGACATGAGTGACAGATGTGGAAGACACTGAAGCTGGTGTTTCTAGATGACTTCACTTATTGAATGACGATCTCCATAATGCCCAAACACACGCTGTCGTATCTCGTAATTACTTACATGCTGTTGCCAGTGGGATAAGCTCAGTCGTACGAAGACAAGGATGATGTAACACACAGAGTTGTTGCACATTCTCAGTTTGTAGAGGCCATGTTTCAGAGGTGTAGAGGAGAACTGCTCACAGTGAATTGTTGTAAATCCAACTTTTTAGAGTCAGACTAACGTGGTGATGACATGAAAGGTGGACCAGATTGAGGTATGTCACAGTGACTTTTGTTAAGTGGTTGGAAATTTCATCACACACACACACACACACACACACACACACACACACACCTGGACTGGCCCTCACACATGTGCCCAGATATACAAACGTTTTGACTAGTTGCAATAGGTCACCACTAAGGGTGAGTGCAGGTACAGGCTTGTTTCAATCTTTCAAAATTACTTTTCACTTCAATGTTGCAGAACACATACCATACTTACGGACACTAATCACCAACTGACTATGTGCTACTTGAGTAGCTTGTATGTTATCGCACAGTAAGATGGTATCGTCCGCGCATTCAAAGTCGAATAGCGGCTCTTCTGGTAGTAAATCTACACTACTATCGCACACTCCCTTTAAAGCTGTTTCAAAAATTTCATCGATGGCAGAGTTAAAGAGGAGTTGAGAAATTGGACAACGATGCCTAACCCCATTGCTGGTTTGGGGCTATGGATACAGGTGGTTGTATGCGCTCACTCTGCATTAGGTGTTATATTAGGATATCAAGATGTTAATAAATTTTTCAGGCTCACCTCTCTCCAAGAGATAATTCCAGAGTACAGCTGTATCCAACGAATCGAATACAACCCTAATGTCGAGGAACACAGTGATTGTTGGTCTGCAATAAGTGTGGCGATGTTCAAGCATCTGGTGGAGGGTAACACATGATCGATGCATCAATGCAGTTGCCACAATGGCCTTTAAGGTCAGTCGTATTTTTCAAGCTTGATATAGACAATCTGCAGACCATGTTCCTCCAATTCAGTATCTTTGACTTTAGTGCTGAATATATTCATCAAATTCAATCCTATATGTACCTGAGTTTCCGGGAAGTTGCATGTGTGTGTACCTTAACCTATGATTATCGTTAGGATAGAAAAGGGATCTACTATTTTCTATCCGTCACCTGTACCAATCTGTCATCAAAGTGTATAGTCTAAACACCCACAAATCGTATTCTCTATCCTACCCTATTCAATTTTCTGGTTATTTAACCATAGCATCAGTCAGAAATATTAAATTCGAATTTTCGTATCTGCATGATTCGGAATGGATTCCATAGTCTATCTTTCTTCCACTATCAAGTTTCTGTCAGTCTTTTTTTCTTCTTGACTTAGATTAGACCTTTGCACCAGATCATCGTTTCCACTCACCCAGTGTAATGATGCACTGTTCACATTACGTAAGGTTATTTCTGACTGATGCTAGTCTTAATATGGAGGTTTATGGAGATTTATTAATTGATTTCAGGTTGAAATTCACTATAGATGACATCATTTGGAGGAACTACTTCGAGAGATAATTCTCGAAGTTCCAATGAGCTGTGACCAGTGGAGTCAGCCAAGTCGAACATTAGGACAGTTACTCAATAACGACATTGGTTGTAGGTCCTACTATTTCATGGAGTGACAGAAGTAAGAAATATGGTCTGTTGGATTCCGATGCAATGGCCCAATGTAACGCGCTGGCCGTGGAACCTGAAAGTCCTGGGTTCGATCCCTGGTGGAGTGGGGTCGTGTGTGTGAGCACTTTTGAGGAGTCTCATATCAGGATGAAACAGCTTTTGAGTGCTGTCATGTTTCCAAGGTTCCTTCAACTGATGTCACTCTATGATGAATTCCAACCTGATGTTAGTTTTATTTGACGAAATGGTCGCTGTAACTAGTTGAAACTCCAACTACTGTCATCTCAGTTATATAACTTAGTAGAGTTTATGTCAGTCCGTATAATGTAAGACCAATAACTTGATATTTTATCACATTGGTGAACGCAATGTTGACTCAGGGGTTAGTTAGTTCGTAAAACTGACTCCTCACTTTCTTTCTTGCTGATATGTTTAATACTTCTTGAAAAGAAATGTTCAATGATCGATGAGTATTCCAAATAACGGTAGCATATATTGCCATATGATATTTCCCTCGATATCTAACCAAACTGAGTTTTGTTCGATATGGTATTTGAATTCTAACCATACGAGGTTCCTCTTTGAAACATATGATCATCCTCGGGAGTAAATTACACGAATGTAGATTGAAGGAATGACATTCAGTACTCTTTCTGCTAATCTTAAAGCTAGATTCCGCTTCTTACAAAATATTACCATATCCAGTTTATTCGGTATATAATAACGTATGATTTTTCTAATGTAAGCATGATACATGCTTCTTATCATGTACTGAAGTGTTTCCTCTGTTCGGAGATTAACCATAATTCACTCAGCCTTGTGCAGATGTATGACTTAATCATTTTAGAGCTTAGTTATTAAATAATAGCTCCCGGCTTCGGCCTGGATACCCGGGTCGTATCACAAGCCCCTAAATAATAAGTAACCTATTGGATAAACACGTGTGTTGGTCGGGGTTGTCTAAAAATATGCCAAACTGTTATATTCCTGCGTTAACCCATTCGTCAATTTGCTATAACTTTGGCTGTGACTGACTTGAGCACGTGATTTGTCCTATTCGGTCTTTACCGTAGCCTTGAACGTGATTGGCCCGAAACAACTTACCCAGTCACCTACACGATGAGTCACACGATTCTGTCTAACCTTAACCGTGTAGTTCAGAGAAAAGTCATTTGCTTATGTTATCATTGGGTTATCTCATTCATCTTATAGATAATGCACCATAATTTATGAAAATGAAACGATTGACTGATTTCTAGCTCAAAATAATATGGAATAAAACACACTGATGAGTTTCACCCAACATGCAGTTATTTCCGAAATGTAGGTCATACAGAAACGAGCATGGTGTCGATCGAAAGCTCTTAAACCGAGCTCTATAATACTTACCTGAGATTCACATTTTAAACTTTTTGGGTGATATAAAATAGATGAGTTTATAAATTCACTAATCATTGATAAGTAGATTTCTGTTAGTTCATTTCTTGGAGAGTTATAATGACGATATGGGCTCCTGTGGGGATGCCTCGATATTGCCCGTGTTTTAATTATGTGTAGTAATGGTGGGCAGTAGCTAGCAGTGGGATCCAGGATGCGCATTTCGTCCTATTTAGGACTCGCCAGCTGGATGCACTTGCCTCCCAGTGAGTGATGTTGTTCCCGCCGGGACTCGGACTCAGGAGCGATCGCTTCAAACGCAAGAGCGTTATCTAATACATCTTGTAATCCACTGCTAGCCACTGCCCATCATTACTATACAGAATTCACATAATTTATATCGCATTCCTTTCAGTAGACATCTTTTGCTGGTACATGTTGTTTGTTTATCTTAAAATGTTATAGTATCTGAACTTAATGATAATATATATTAAAGTTCTCTCCTTGTTTTTCTCTTTCTAATTTTCTCCCCTCTCCATTTGCACTACTTATTTACTAACAATGCCTGTTGTGTTATTGTTGTGCAAATCTATACTAATTACAATGATGATATCGCTAATAATAATAACAATCATAATAATAATAATAATGATAAACTTTGTAGGCTTCCCTACTCACCGTCGTTGTGGTTCTGACAATCGTCATAAGAAAAAGAAAGTTAATGCAATACGAGATTTTAATCTTCTACCTTCATTTCTTCTTCGAAACAATGGTATTTAGTTTACTATTGTTAGTAGTAATCTTTTGTTAACCAGTTTTACTTTACTACACTAATATACTAAAGTGAATATTTTTTTTCCTAAAGAGACAGATTTTATGCTCTTTTGCGTTTAAGGCTTTTCACTATACACTTTCAATGTCAGATTTCGATAGAGTTGTCTTCAGAAGTGACAACAGTCGTTTACACATTGTTGAAAGTTTTTATATTCATTAAAGTAAAATCTTTGTTTCTATCTGAAGTGACCGAGTGAATGATGATAATAATTGCGCGAACGATATTATCGCGAGGAGACGTTTGGACTGGATGTGAACAACGACTGTTCTCTATCAGAACCATAAGCTCAACTGAGCTGCAGGAATCAGAAGACAAAGACCGGCCTGTGACTATGAGGAAGACACATTATTCAACAAAAAAAATCATCATTTATATACAGTTGACATGACCATATGCAACCAATCAGTTAGAAGTTAAATATTTATTTTGATTGGTCAATTGCTCGGACAAAGTATCCAATAAGGTTTTTCCTGATTACAACAGTAACATGAATACAAACTGAAATCCAAAAGCTCCTTCTGCCTCATCAGCTGATGATCTAAACTGTTGATTTCCATTTAGCCCACTTTTTATCCCTACCCTCTCAAAATCGTCATACTTTTTACTAAACGACAACGGAAATAATCATCAGAAAATGTGGGTTATGAGTATAGTAAACTTAGTTCTCTGCTTCTGTTTTTCCATTTAACTGGTGGACCACACATTCGAATACTGCTTTATTTATCGAAGCTTAGTCCTCACTTAGTAGGTCTGGCTTATTATTTTATGCATAAACCTGTACTTGATTGCTGAGCAATATTGTTACTTTTACAAATATGGATTTTGGTGTAGGTACTACAGGACATTTCTATGAACAACGGTTTCATCCTTCTTTAACTTCGTATCTAAATATAACTCTGGGGAACAATTGGCTATTCTACTCCATGTTTAGTGATTGTAACTTTTCTGGTTAATTTTCATTTTGAATTGAAACTCAGAAGCTTCAGTGTTAGCCGTTTTACTGACGTTGTAGTGGGTTGCTATTGATAAGAATGCACATAAGTAGTATATGTTGAGAAATCATAGGTGATTAACAGCAACGGGTAGATATTCTGCACAGAGAAAAGCAAGATATAACATGATTGTATGGAAAGCAAAATGAGATAGAAGAAGAAGAAGAAGAAGAGGAAATAAAACCCATTGTGCAAATGAATATATCAATGGGAAGTGTACAAGATTTCATCAGTGTCACAATAAACATTCTTCTGCGTTTCATCCTTCTCCGTTTTCACCCGACTCCTTAATAACATGCCAAGCACCACGATCTTTGCCTCCTGGATACCGAGTTCCCACTAACTCCGCGACCGATTTGTAATCCCTGAGGAAGACCTTGATGTATCTATCCTCGAACACAGTTGGCCACGAAATCTTTACATTCCAAAGCCTCGATGGTTTACTGAGCCATGCCGGAAGGTTCTAACTTCGAGACTGGACACTAACTATACTTAAATACGATTGTACAGCTGGAGATGATATCACCGAAAGCAAATTTGTTCACTGAAGTGTTTATTCTTTTATGACTAAATGGGAATGTTTAAAAGTTAAGCTTATTACATTATCCAAGTAGTCTAAAGGATAGTATTATCATATCCTATTAGCTTAGTTTTTAACGTTTGCCTCATTCCTAAACTAAACTGCTACGTGTTGAGATCTTTAGTTCAGAATTGAACCAAATCAATACCCTGGCTGTGACATAATGAGCTATAACAAGCTAAGAATAGTCTGTTTAAATAAGCATATTCTCCAGGCATGTAGATGGCAATGGGAAACCCTTTCTCCCAGTTTTTTGAAGTCATTAACAGGCCTTTGGATAGGTTTATTATCATTTCATTGTTTTCATGATCGAAAGCTTAAACAAGTCTGGTTTTTATCTGGAGGTTCGTAGAGGTTTAATTGATTTCAGGTGGTAATTCATCATGTGTCGACATCAGTTGGAGCAACATTGGAAACCTGCGAGCACTGAACAGCTGTTTCGACCTAGTGTAGGAGTCTTCAGAAGTGCGCAAACCTCCAGATAGAATTAATCTGGCGCTCATTGATGACTAGCTTCGAAACGTGATCCCCGAAGTTCCAATTAGAAGTCGTAACCAGTGGAGTTAACTAAGTCGAACATGAGGACAGATACTCAGTGATGACGTTGGATGTAGGTTGCGCTATATCGTGAACTGACAGAAGTAGGAAATGTGAAACATTGGATTCCTACCCATTGGTTCAATGGTAACGTTGTTGGCCATAAAACCTGAAGGTCCTGGGTTCGATCCCTGACGGTGTGGGGTTGTGGGTGGGCACTTCTGAGGAGTCCCACATCAGGACGAAACAGCTGTTGAGTGCTCTCATGTTTCCAATGTTCCTCCAACTGGTGTCAGTCCATGATGAATTCCAACCTAAAATCCAATTTTCATATAGACAACTATAGCTAACTTTGAGCGTACATTATATAATTACATTTAATAATTTATCATTATCAACTGCTAACCTATGTGCTTTTATAGAAGTAGTATTAATTGAATTTGTAAATATTAACGTTTACTTTCTCTTTTGCTAATCCATATTATGATGCTTTTTATCATGTCTGTTTGTTGATTGGCATTTTCTTTTCTGATTTATTGCATATTCATTCTTCATCAGGTGCTTGGTTATTGTATACATTCATTGTGAAAAAGTACTTTCTTTCCAGAGGTTCATTATTATCTAGTGAGTAATACGCATAAAAGGCAAATAGTTGTTGATGATTATGGCTCTTTTGTTTACTAAACAGATAAACTTGTAAAAAAATAATCATTGGACAAAATGATTTGGTTGAAGTTCTGACCTTTCACTCGTTAGAATACTGGTGGTGAAACTACTCTTTCTATCATGGTTTCAACAAGTATCTGCTCTTTATATATGAAACTATTTCTTTTCTGATATGCTTTAACCATGGTGTTTCATAGTCTCTCTAACCGATTGATATTCTACAGTGTTGTGTGTATATGCACGGAACCATTCCATATAACAGACGCAAACTGAGTGACGTGACGTAGTTAGCTTCCAGTTTTCATGTATATTTGAATGCCACGAAAGGCTTGAACGGTTGATTTTACATGCTAATCCTAGCAACCGTTCAGTTCAAATAAACAATCCGGTTTCGGTATTTTTCCCCTGCGAAGGTAAATTTTCATAAAATACAAAAAATCGGATTAGTTGTTTCAGGTGTTGCTAAGGCGGTCACCAGAGGAACTCATTTGAAGGATAGTCGAAGGTTTAAATAGTGAAGAAATGCACCAGCATGAAGCAGCTTTATGAATGCGTTTTTTCTTTGTCGGATGGGATATAAATGATTTTGTATACTCAATACTATGTGTTCTCATTTTATTGAGATATACCCTGAATAAGATAGCTGTTTGAGATAGACTGCTTGATGCAAAATCTGCGAAAGTACCTTGATTTTGTACTTCACTAAATGCTCGATTACTCTTTGTATTTCTCAATATCTATGCCTAAAATCATCACCAGTTGTTGCTGATAGTGTTCTCGCCTTATTCCAAATGTGAACACAGTCGTAACACTGAATAAACAGATATACAATTTTATACTGATGACAGATAGTGACTAGCAACGGAATCCAGGACTCACGTTTCGTCTTCTGTTGGACGCACTAGTCAGCCGGATATACCTACCTCCCAGTGAGGGATGTTGTTCTCACCGGGACTCGAAAGCAGGACCGATCGCTGCAAACACCAAAGCGTTATCCACTAGACCACCAAGTTACGTCAGCCACTTCTTGTGCAATATCGAGGCATCCGCGCAGGAGCCAATATGTCAATCGAGACCGATCAGTTCGGTTCAATCAACGACGACGGAATAATACAAGTAACAACCATAAACAAACATATAATGTGGGGGATTGTGGAGATTTATTGATTTCAAGTTGGTATTCATCATGCACTGATATCAGTTGGAGGAAAATTGGAAACCTGAGAGCACTGGATGCCTGTTTTGTCCTAGTATGGGACTACGCAGAAGTGCGCACCCATCACCCTGACTCACCAAGGATCGAACCCCAGGATCTCCGGGTTCCACAGCCACCACGTTACCATCGAGCCACTAGATCGGAATCCAATGTTCCATATTTCCTGCTTCTGTCAGTTCACACTATAGCGTGACCTACATCTAATGTCGTCGTTGAGTAATTGTCTTCATGTTCGACTTGGGTGAGTCCTTTGGTTACAACTTAACACTGGAAGTGTGGGAATCACGTTTCGAAGCTAGCTACCGATGAGCGCTAGACTAATTCACTTTCGAGATTTGTAGGGATTTATTGATTTCAGGTTTGTATTCATCATGAAGTGACATCATTTGGGGGAACATTGAAGAACTTAAGAGCATTGGAAAGCTGTTCCGTCTTAGTATGGGGCTTCTGAGTGGTGCGTACTCCCTACAATGTTTACAAAAGTCAATAAAATAACTGATATTTCTTTAACACCCTTCACCCTCACAGAATACATAGAAATACTAATGACCATTGTTAAGTTATGTAAATTATCAGTTAAAAACAGAAGATAAATGCCAAAATAAACAGACAAAAGTCAGTGACAAAATCATTGTAGTAATTTTGAATCACTGTCAAACCCTATCGTTGGTTTTTCCTCTATCTCAACAAGTTGATTGCTTGATTTTATCTCTTTTTATAACCTTCTGGATGATTGATCCTCTGCGTCATCGTAGCATCTTCCTCAATATATTTGAACACACTGATTAATTATTACTTATCAACTTCACTATCGCTATTAATATTATTATAATTAGTGTTCTATTTAAGCTAGCAATCATCATGGACTGGGATTAGCTGGGGGGGCCATTGAAGACCTAAGAGCACTGGGCAGCTATTTCGTCCTAGTATGGTACTCGTCAGCAGTTCGTACTCATATTTCAGCTAGAGATCGAACTCATGACCTTCAGATTTCACGGTGAACACGTGTTAACCATTGAGCCACTGGGTTGGAGTTCAATGATTCACAGGATCCTACTTCTGTGACTACCTACTACTAAGAAGTCCAATAATAGGACTAAACAGCTATTCAGTACTCCTAGATTTTCAATGGTTCTTCGACTGATGTTATTTCTTGATGAATGTTACCTTAAAAATGAAATCCCCAATAACCTCGAATTGTATTAGTGTGTTGTATTGGTCCATTTTTATCGTTTTAGCTATACTAACGCTTTTGTTTTCTCTTCCGTTGTTTCTGGCATTTGCAGTGGATTGTTTTCGGTGTAATTCTATGCGTATATCAAGAGAATGTTGATTGTTTTTAAAAATTATATTCTCTCCTTATATACGCAATGTACTTTCTTTACATGGTACAATGTAAGGACCAGAGGAAGAAATGACTATGATCTTGTGTATACGTATGTGTGTGTGTTTCATCAACTTCTCATCACCTTCATGTTTTACTTTATTTATCTAGTAACTGGAGCTGACAATCCATCTGAAGTTATTTCAACGCTAGATGAAACTCTGAATTTATCTGCCCAGGACTCTGCTAATTCAGGGATTATAGAAACATCACCAACATCTAACACTTTAAGTAGTGGTGGTGGTAGTGAAACATGCACTAATCTATCATCACCTATATCATCTTCACCTGTATCGATAGGTGGTGGCATTAATGTTAACCACAGTCCTATGGATTTAACTTCACAAACTGGCAATCATTTAGACAAACCGAAATCAAGTGGAGATGAATTTGGAATATCGGTAAATGATCCACGTAAGTTGAATTCCATGCATCAGTTTGATTTTTTATACTTCTACTGCATATAGAAGTATAGGTTTACCTGTTTAGAGTTTTTGGAATTATTTTAACTCACTAGTTGACAACTTTTAATGACATATCTCAAAATCGATGACAATAATACAAAAGTATGTAGACTTTTTACCATATTTTGAAATTTCTAGAATTTCAATAACTTTTATTTATTTATCCATCTTTCGTCTCATTGTTTTTTTTTGCTTACTTCAGTGTCATTCATATGATATCTAATTCCACTGTATGTGCTGTAGTGAACTTTATCAACTTGAACTAATAGTGTACTTCTCTGCAAGGTTATAACACTAATTTATCTTTAGAAATAGTATTCATCATGAACTGACATTAGTTGGAGAACCATTGAAAATTTGAAAGCACTGGACAGCTGTTTCGTCCTAGTATGGGACTCCTCAGCAGTACGCACCCACGACCCGGCTAGAGATTGAATTCAGTACCTTCAAGTTTCACAGCGAACGCGTTAACCATTCAGCCACTGGGTCGGTTTCCAGTGGTTCACAACTTCCAACTTTCCTATTCATCTCAAAAATACGTTACTAATTTATCTGTCTGTACGGTTTGTTGCTGATTGTGTTGTGAAAGACCTGATGATTAAAATAAAATGGTTCAGTTATGTGTATTCTGTGGATTACATGTTGTCTTGAATAGTGAATGTAATGAATTTGCATTCTCATTTAGTTTGATTCCGACATTTTCCAGTGTCTACGTAAATTTGGATTGGATAAATTCAGACTACATTTGAGTAAATCTGGTCAGTTTTGGTGCACTGAATATGAGTTAACAAACAGCAACTAATTTGGTATAGCGGCTCAGAATTACTAGTATTTCTTTTACTGGTATGGAAGATTTTATGTTTGGGATAGGTTTCTCATCACATAAATGCAAGGTTTTACTCCAAGATTGGTCTTCAGCAGTGTCTTGTCTAACAACAGAGAGTGAAGCAGTTGAATGTGTTAACCTACTTCACTTACCTAGGAGGTCAGATCAACCTTGGTGGGTCAATGGCCGTCGAAATCTCTGCACGGATACAAACGGGTAGTCTTTGCCAACTTACGCCATTCATAGCGTTGCCGTGATATCCGATTGCCTACTAAAGGCCGACTTTACTGCAATACAATTCGCTCTGTTTTACTGTATAACTGTGAAACATGGTCATCAAAAATAGAGGATATGAGAAGACTTCTGGTGATTGACCACCGTTGCCTTCCTATCTTAGGCTGTGTCGTAGTGTCATCACGTCAGTGATGTAGAAGTCAGGTGTAGAGTCTTAGGGAGGAGAGGAAAGTCGGTTGATGTACTTGTAAACCTTCATTGACTGATAATAGATAGGACACATGTTATACATGCCTAGTCACTGTTTACCAGGCTGGAAAACGATTGAAGGTGGTCAGAGTAAACCATGGCACCATTGTATGAAATCCTGTTGACTGTTGGTTTAAGCCATGTAGGGAAATGTAAACTAATCGGTTGGCATCAACTTGACAACACAAACCAGTGGTTGGAGACTAGGTGATATTAGTTCAGAATTGATATCCATGACACAGATGTATCCACACTGAATTCAGCTGCTTCCTACTACTTTTGACGAATTTTTCTTATTTCTTCATTTTTCATCTTACTGCTTTGTTACTACTTGATGTGCTGATATGAGATGTAGCAACGTGGACTGCTATGCAGTAATGCTGTGTTGATATTGATTAACTGATGTAACACTGACCTAAGCTATTTCAGGTATATATTCCCTACCAATAGTTCAAGTTAACTGATTTTTAGCGAAATCACCACAATCATATTTTTCGGTTAAAGTTTAAATAATCAGACTGATTACAACGGACCTCATATACAAATGTTAAGTTGTACGGAAACTTAGTGAAACATAGTGTTATCGCCTGTATTATACCGTCGTTAATTGGACTGACTTGATCGGTGTCTATTGGCATATGGGCTCCTGAGGGAATGCCTCGATATTGCCTGTATTTTTAGTTATATAGTAATGATGGATAGTAGCTAGCAGTGCACTGGCGTTTAAAGCGATCGGTCCCCAGTTCGAATCTCAGTGGCAACAACATCATTCACTGGAAAGCAGGTACATCTAGTTGACGAGTCCCAAATAAGACGAAATACGCATCTTAGATTCCACTGCTAGCCACTATCATTACCATATAATTAGTGAAATATAACCAGTGAAATGATAGAGTCATTGTAATCCCTTAAATCAAATTGTAATCAACAAAGCTGATTAATTTGAATATCTCCTGTCATCAAGAATTTTGGCTATTTTTATACGATTTACCTTTTATACTTTATGATTGTGGACTGAAAGACAAAATTGTACCTTTCAGTAACAAAATAGGCTTCTGATATTTACTTGTTAACGAATATGCCTACCATGCGCGCTCCCCTTTGTGAATTTTTATAATTGTCTGTTTCTCAGATGAAACAAACATACTTTCAAAGTAATAATATTTCCATTTGTTGTGAGAACTATCTCCTGTTACTGTTTTATCAGGTAGTAAACAGTCGATAGTTGAACAATGCAAAGAAAAAGATATTTGTAGAATATAATGATCTCATTTTAATTTCACGGCCTTTCATCAGTTACAAACAATCTACAATTAAAATGAAATATTAGTAGTAATAATGGCATAATATATTTTAAGTATACAGATCCTAAATAAAAAGGATATGTTGACACTGAAAAGGTTGCACAAGTATGATAAAGTCGTTATAACTAGACCTGAATAAGGGATCAAGTGTCGTCATAATGAATGGAACTGACAACTTGCATAAACTACTGATGATTTTGGGTGATTCGTCAAGATTTAAAGTTGATAGATTCCAAAAGGATGAGACAGTTTCAGTTGAGAAAAAGTTAACAAACATCTCACGGGACTATTGATAAAGCATTTGATTGATGGAAGAACTTATAATGAACTTAAACCAAAATATTCACGACTATCGTCCATATATGGCCTGCTGAAAATCTAGAAGTTGAATATTCCCTTGAGACTCATTTTGTCCATGATAAATTCACCTTGTCATAAATTGGCTCGTCGGTAAACATAGAAATTGGAACCTATCAGAAACACGTACAAGGATACGTTCCAATTCTCTGAAGAATTGCATAGATTAGATACCTTAGATAAATTCATGATATCATTTATTGTTTTCTCATTATTTACGAACATACCAGTGGATAAAACGATAGACAATCTGTCTGGTCTGATGCCATTGCTGGAAATAAAAATGAAATAATTACTTCTCCTCTATATCGAAGGTGTTCAGTCCCAGTTTAATAGTCAACTATACTAACAAACTGATGGAATGGCTATGGGATCACTACTAAGAACTACCTTAGCTAATATATACATAGCTCATCTAAAACGAACACGTCTGAACTCTGCGATCAAGGAGACGATATATTATCGCAGGTATATCGATGATACGTTCAATTATATGTGACAATATGAATCATCAACCAAGCTCATCAAAAAGTTATAATTTTACAATGGAATATGAAAATGTGGACAGATACAATTTTTTTGAATCTAAGTATAAAACGGAACTGTGATGGTACAGCTGAGAAAATCATCCACTGGAGGCATACACATGGATTCGTCAGTACCTTCACTACCAGCTGTAAACGTGGTTCAGTCGGGACACTCTTCACTAGAATATACACTCACTATGCTATGTTCAAAAGATAAACTGAAAGAAGAATTCCCTACCATTCAGAAGACTCTTATACAAGATATATATACCCGAAGAAATTCATCATGAAGCATGCAAAAGAATTTATTGACACAAGAGAGAGAGAGAGATTAAAACATCCATCCAACGACTGAGAAGAAGTCTGTTCTCCTTCGTCTAGCATTCACAGGTGATGAAACACCTGTGAATAATAGACAGAAGAATAAAAGCTGCACTGAGAAGGAGCTTCCTTGCCACCACACTGATCTCAGTTTACAATACAGTATATGCTCGATAACACAATTGAATGTAGACAAACACCCATCTCACGTCACCTCAAACTGTGTATACCAATTCATCTGTGTTTGTACAAGCAAGTACATAGGACGGAACGAAAGAAGAGTGTCTACTTGACTTTATGAGCATATACTGAGTGAGAACTCTGTGTGTGGATGATAGCAAGTTGTCTACCAGCACAATCACCAGACAGTCGCCTGGTCGAAACAAGACATCAAATAGATATTTCTCAATTCTTCATAAAAATCAACAAACCAAGATCATCATGTTTATTAGAGTTTGTAGAAGTTGTTGCCACCAAATTTTTCAACGCTGATCTATGTACTCAGAAAGACACTGTAATTAACCTCTGTTTACTATGTTAACTGTATACACGTTTTTGCATATGTATGTGTATAGCCTTGTTTTGTTTTGATTAGATCATCTCCTCATTCATTACTTACTAACTGTTAATCACTCTTAGCGTAACGTTTTTCCAGTTTTTTTTCTTCATGTCATTAAATGATGTCTAATTTCGGACAAACTCGAAGATCTACAGGCAAAAACTAACAAGTTGACAGAAGAGGCAGGGCAGCGAAGACGGGACTTCAAGTGAACGTAGAGAAGATAGAGGTGATGATGATGCTCAACCAACAACATTAGCAAGCTCCAATCACCAATAACGGGCGAAACCTAAAGGAAGTAGTCTCTTTCACCTACCGAGGCAGCATCGTTTCAACTACAGACGGCACAGCCACAGAAGAGGACGTCAAAGCAGCCAGGATCAGAAAGACAGCAAGACAGGAGTTTACTAACCTGAAACCAGTGTGGAGATCTGCTTCACTGCACTCAGCATAAAGCGTGAACAACATCCGGATTTCCAACACCAACGTCAATTCAGTGCTTCTATATGGCTGAGAGACTTGGCGCGTCCTGAAAAGCATTTCCAACAAACTACAGACAACTGCCGCCTACAC